GTAAAATGTGTTTCCCACTTGCATCGGGGCGTCGAGCTTTCCCAGCACCTACAGAGATGGGACTTTCTGTTTGAAGGTCATTGTCTTGGCCCCGGGGACCAAGTCTTTGAATGAGTTCCCAAGCACGTGGGCAGCTGCTGCGGAGGTTCTTTGGGTGGCCCCGGTGGGGGAAGGAAGCTAACCCCACGTGCTCAGCATGTCCCCCCTGGGGACCCCGTTCAGCGAGGGGATGCCCCCACCTCATCGTCTGTGGGGGTCTCGTCCAGTCCGGAGCCGCCGGGCAGGGGTCGTTTCCCTCGGTCTTACCAGGAAGAGCTGAGGACTCGGGACACGGCCGGCCTTGCGGCCGGAGTCCCGTGTCTGGTGCACCTTCCCGGAGTGGAAGTGCCCACTTCTTGGGTGTTTCTTTCTTGCAAGGGCTTTCCTCGGGGCTGTCCCCTGTCACTGGCTTTCGGGGGTCCCCCCAGAGCTCTTCCCAGTGGCCGTAACGTATTAAACTCGGCTCTCCTCCTAGTGGGTGGACCCAATGTGCGCCCCCCTTAGCTTCCTTTCTGGGGCTGAGAACGGGGGCTCCTTTTGTGGGGTTCGGGCAGACGGGGAAGGAGAGGCAGGAAAAGACAGAGCAGGAGGGGCCGCAAGCTCAGGACGCCTTGGATTTCGTGAAATGTAGCTTTTCCTGCCACAGCAGATGGCAGATCTCTGTCCTGCGGCCTCCAGCTGCTCCTGCAGCTCCCGCGGCGGCGGCGGCAGGGCCAGGGAGGCGTCAGCGGCAGCCCCGGCCCTGGGTGGGAGGGCCGGCCTGGCTTTCAGGGGTGGTGCTTGGAGAAGACCAAAGAAACGACTTCAAAATGGGAGCTCTGGATGTACTTAAGCCTTTGTTTCCAAATTATTTCCTTGTGTGCGTGTGTGTGTGTCTCTTTCTTAAAAAAAAGATTTCCAGACGTGGAAAATGAGAAAGCGTTTGAGTCGACTTCAGGAACACTGAATGCATGGCTCTGCCGGACGGCTTGGGGGGGAGTCTCTGGAACTCGGGGGGGACACGAGGTCGGGGTGAATGGCCTGTGCTGTGGGCTTCATAAAAGAGGGGGTCTTTAAAAAGTTCTGAGGCATCTCAGATCCCTTTGAGAAGGAGGCGGATGAACCCAGAGAGGAATTGCTAAATGCTCAACAGAGAGAATGAGGATGCATTTCAGTCCTATTATTAACTCCGCTGCCTGGAGGGCAGAGCGCGAGACACAAAGAAGCCCTTCTCCCCCCGCACCCCACCCCACCCCACCCCACCCCACCCCACCCCACTCGAGGGTCTCAAGCAGCCAATCTCCTACCGTATCGGAAAGAGCTGCAGGGAACAAACGGATTCTGTCGACACAGAACCCGTGGCGGCCACCGTCAAAGACGCCTATTTTATCCCCGCGAGACGTGAGCAGTTGCCGTGTGCCGGGCCAAGTCTGCCACGGCCTCTTAGGGGTTCCGGGGGTCCTCCCGTGGGCCGTGGAGACGCAGGCCTTGGTCACGACTCTGCTCAGGGTTCCGGTTCTGCGTCACCTGTGTGGCCGTGGGCGAGCGGCTTCCTCTCACCTGGTTCTGGTTCCCGCTGCAGAAACGGGGGTGGGGGGGTGGGGGCGGGAAGCAGCCGTGGGGCTGTTGGCAGGAGATCTCACCCCGGAGACAGGAACCCAGAAACCACTGCTTGCGCGTCAGCTCTGTTTCCTGGGGGGAGGGGCAGGACCGGGGAGGGGCGTGGGGGGCAGCGGCCTCACCCCCCCTCACTAAAACGGGCAAGCCGGGCAACGGATCGTTTGGGGAGGGCAATGTCGATGGCGTTTGCCCATCTAGACGCGAGCGTTTCTCCAAGTTGCCAGGAACCTCGGGTTTGAACGCCAGACTCCACGGCGGGGCCGACCGACCACAGCCTGGATCTGACCGCAAGCGAGAGGGAGAACGAATAGGCAGTTCCTCCCCATTCCCCCCCGCAGGGAGGGAACCCTCGGAGCCCAGACGGCACAGGAGCTCGCACCCACCTCCCCTGTCCTTCCTTTTCAGAGCCGGAAGGCCTTCTCCCCACCCCTCTCTCCAGTGTCTGTATAAATGGTGGGAAAAACCATTCCCGGGCATTATGCATGTACTCCATTCCTCCGTGTCTGGACGGGGAGAGACTCGCTTAGGGGGTTGCTGTCCTACGGAGCGACACCTCGGAAAGGAAGAGTGTTCCGTGGGACGTTCGGCCAATTTGAGATTCCTTTCCCCGAGAGAGTAGTTGCGGTGAGGGCGGCCTCTGGGAGACCTGACGGGTTTCTCCCCAGCACCGCTTCGAGGTTGCTGAGCGCCAGCCCAGACGGCGGATTAGGCTGGAATGCTCCCTCCAGCCCTGCAGCTGCTGCGTGGAGGACGTGTTTAATTGAAGCCAGTGGGCCCGGCCCCCCCCCGGGAGCCCTGCTCTGAACCCTTCACTGAAGGTGGTGCTTAAGCTTTGCTGGGGAGCGCGGCTCTCACGCGGACCCCGGAAACCGACAGAGGCACCTAAGGTTCCGCACACATTTGTCGGGCGGGGGGGGGGGGGTCAGGTCCTTTGCAGCCTGTGGGCTCCGTAGTAAGCAGTGTTCTTGACCAGCCCTGGCCGGTGTGGCTCCGTAGGTTGGAGTGTCATCCTGCAGCCTGAAGTGTGTGGGTTCGATATCCAGCTAGGGCACATGCCTAGGCTGAGGGTTCGATCCCCGGCCCAAGCACAGATGATCCTCAGTCTCGATGCCTGCAGGGGGCAACCGATGGGTGTTTCTCTCTCCCTTCCGCTCTTAGGTGATGATCAGAAAGTAAAAACATATCCTGATAGTATTTGGAAAGGACACGCTGTGTTTCCAAAAAGAATCCAGTAAAAGGTAGATCCTGCAGACAGACAATTTTCCCGTTTCCAGTAAGGTGCTTATTGCTGATGGAAACCCAGTGTTGAACTTCCACAGAAAGGACGGGGAGGCACCCACGCACCGCGTCCTCCCGCCGTGCGCCCAAGTGCTCGTCCCCGGTCACTGGGGGGTAAGCACGCGTCACACTCGTGGAGCTTGCTTTCCTTTATCCCCCCCGCCCGCCCCCCCCCCCAAAAGACATAAACAAACCCTCAGGAATAGGTTGAGCAGAGGGTGGAGAAGGAAGGTAGGAAAGGATGGAAAGGTCCGGAACCTCCTCCTTGTTTTGCTAGAACTTTTCCTGGAATGAGGGTTCCCTGGAACACACTTTGAGAAGCGCTGGCAAAGCCGACTGTGGAAGAGAACCGTGGTTAGAATTCCCCGACCGTCCGTTCCGTGCCGGGCATGCGACCGCGGCCCCGTCTGCCGCACAGGCCTCACAGGCAGCCGGCGAGGGGGGCGCTGTTCGGGCGGCCCCGGGTTCGAGACGAGGAGGCGGGGCCGGCGAAGGGGCCTGCCCAAGGCAGGGCGCGCCGGACCCCAGATCCGGGCTCACCTGTGCTTCCCGCCTCCCCCTGGCTCCTTATTCGTTCCTAAAGGGCTCCAAAGTCAGGCCGTGGAATTCGATGGACAAGTTGTGCCGGAGTATCAAGATGTTTTTCTTCCCGTCCTCATTAACGGTCAGAGTCGGGGCCCAGGGGAAGAGCAGGTCGTCCCTCAATAGCTGTGCGACGTGGGCCAGTTCTTCCTGATGAGCCTGGGGGCTGGCGTGTGCCTGGAAAGACGGAGAGAGGGCGCACGAGACACGTGATGAGAAGCTGTGCACGGCACACAGCAGGTGCCCGGGAACCGTTGATGCTGTGATGTCAGAAAGAGCGGTTTGATAACAGCGGAGGCTGAGGCCTTGCTCCAAAGTTACTCAGAATTTCAAGACAGCATCACACCAAGCACGGGGCCCTGGGAGTGTAGGGTCTTACGGGATGGCCCAGGAAAAAGCTGGGAGGACCCAGAGCCTTGGGTGAGGAGGGGGAGAAAAGGGGTGCTGTCTCACAAGGGGACGTGAGCCTGGCCGGAGCATACCCGGGACAGCTCCCTGGGGGGTGGGGGAGGTCTGACGGACAAGCCGGGCTCCCGAGCTGACCTCTCCGGGCTGGGCCCTGGAAGGTGGAGAGGCGACAGGACAGTGTGGAGCCGTGGGGCTGCTTTCTGGTTTGGGGTGGGGCCAGGGTGTGTCGCCTGCAGGGACACCAGCGAGTGAGCCCCTCAGCCTGAGCGTGGCGGGAAGTCACGCCCGCAGCCCCAGCCGGCGGTCACGGGGACCGTGCAGCCAGGCGGCCGGCCCTCGGGTCTGCTCCTCAGCGTTGCTCACCCGGGAGCCCTGGGCGCGTTCCGCTCTGAGCTGGAGGCTGGCCCGTGGCGGGTTTCCGCCTGGGGACGGGGGAGGGGAGTGCCAAATGCTAACGGAGAATAAGGGGGGAAGGTCGAAACGGCCCGGCGCTGGGGCCACGCCCATGCACACTCCCACGGCGCTCTGGGCAGAGTCCGCTCCCTCCCAGCCCGTTGCTCCCCGGTGGGCTTCCTCCGAGCAGGACCCCAACGCCGAGCTGGGGGTCTCCATCCCGCCACTCCCGTGCCTGCACGTGTCATCCCGCCGGACTCTGCTCCTCGCTGCCGGGGGCTCAGTGACTCGCTCGCTTTCACCGCCTGCGCCAGTGTGAGTGGCAGACAGGGGTTGTCGCACATGGGTGGTAGCTAGGCCACCGCACCACGGCCACCAGATTCAAAGAGTCTCATTTATACGTCCAGTCAAAACTATGTATCCGCCCTGGCTGGCGTAGCTCAGTGGATGGAGCGCGGGCTGCAAACCAAAGCGTCGCAGGTTCGCTTCCCAGTCAGGGCACATGCCTAGGTTGCAGGCCATGAGCCCCAGCAACTGCACATGGATGTTTCTCTCTCTCTCTCTCCCCCTTCCCTCTCTAAAAATAAATAAATAAAATCTTAAAAAACAACTATTTATCGTAGAAGGGGCGACTCCTTCACTCCCCAGGCGGCCGTCTCAGAGCCAGACACGGTCATTCTCCGCCCTGTTCTCTCTTCCAGGCCCGCACGTGGTGCTCAGACAAATCCAAAATGAGGACGCACCGGCATCTGCCCTTGGCGGCCGTCTTCTGCCTTTTGCTTTCAGGCTGTCCCCTGACCGGTGGTCAGCAACAACCAGGTAAGACCCGGAAACACCTTGGATGCTTTGGAACAGGAGCCGCGTCCTCCGCTTCCAGACCGGAGGTAGCACCTGGTTGCCGCAGCGTGTATGGGCGCTTCGGGGAGCGAGCTGAGGGGGCCGAGGTCTACGGGACGCCCACCCGGGTCACGGGCCTCCTCAGACGCCCGCTCCCCGCCGAGGGACCGCTCGCCCGTGTTGGAACGCAGGTTCGCTGTCTTGGAGCTGCTTGGCCAGTGGCCGGCTTCGGCGTCGGCAGATCCGTGCGGATGGAACGTGTGTATTGCACACGCGTTACCGTCCGAACCCTTTCGGTCAGCCTCCGGGCGCTGAAAACTGGGAGCAGACACTGTTTTCCTTGGAAACAAAACACAAGTCTGGACACAGACACATTGGTCCTGTAGGTAGCATCATCCAATCTTTCAGAAATCAGTTTCCCCAAACTATTAAAAAAAAAACAAAAACACCCGACCCTAATCAGCCGCATGAAGAATTTGCTTGCGGAGTTTTAGCAAACCAAGAGATCCTTCATGTGCTGTGAGCTCGGAGGGGGACCAGGGCTTCCTGTCCGGGGTCGGCAGAACGGGCCCCTGCCGGGGACGCCCCCACCCGGCGCCCTCATGGTTAGACGGCAGGCGATGAGTGCCAGCTCAGGGGAAGGGGGCCGCTGGTTGGGCACCGGGCCAGCCCGAGGTAAGTGGCGTCTGGGAGCCCACTCTGGTCAGCCAGCGGGCCACGGCTGCAGAAGGGCCGTGCCCAGCACCCCCAGCCTCCTGCCCACGGGGTCCATCTTTGTAACAGACAGGTTATGGCCAACACTTACGACGGCTTTTCTGGCCCCCAAACTCATAGCAAGTCATCGAGGTGCCTTTCTTCGTACCAAAAAGTCTGAGAACAGCGAGACTTCGCCTCCCTGCACAGTAACACGGATCGTCCTCACTGAGGGGAGACCTAGTCATCACCTTTATTTTTCTTAAAATTACCCAAAGTTTGGAGGTGCGTTCAGGCCCAACGGCCGCCGCTTCCACTCCCCCTTCTCGTCGGGGCCCAGCGCCCCACCCCCAGACTGCAGGGCGCGTGATAAAGAGGTGCCTGGTCACGAGACAGGCTCTCCCGCTGGTCTGCTCAGGTGGGTTTTGGGGTTCAAAGTGCCACAGAGGTCATGCTTGAGTCCAGAGACACCCCGGAGGATGTTTTTCTCCATTCTGGACCCTGCCCCCCCTGGTGTGCAGTCAGGTGGATTGTGCATGGGCCTGGGGCCGCGCACTGGGTGGTCTCCGGCAGCTCAGGGCCCCGGCGCCCAAGCCCCGCCCCTCAGGTAAGTCGGCCCGCCCGTGCTGCCGGCCACCAGGTGTGAGTCCCGCGGAGACGGCAGGGTGGACTCAGAAGGAGTTTAGGGACGCTTTGCATGGCTAGGAAGCGACTGCTCAGACAGGAGAAAAAACCTAAACCCGTGTCTTCTTTTAAAGATGTCACACACGGTGCCGCTGCCGATGTAGTATTTCTAGTGGATCCCTCTTGGAGCTTTGGGAAGGACCATTTCCGACTCATCCGTGAGTTTCTGTATGACGTTATAAAGTCTTTAGCTGTGGGACAGAGTGATTTCCGTTTTGCCCTGGTCCAGTTCGACGGCAACCCGCGGACCGAGTTCCGGTTAAACACGTACCGCTCCGCCCGGGAGGTCCTGTCCCATGTCTCCAACCTGTCCTACACTGGGGGCGGCAATGAGACCGGAAAAGGATTAGCGTACGTAATGCAGAGCCACCTCACGGAGGCCGCCGGCAGCCGGGCCGGGCGCGGAGTCCCGCAGGTTATCGTAGTGCTGACCGACGGACGCTCGGACGCCCGCCTGGCGCGGCCCTCAGCGGGACTTAAGTCTGCTGACACTGGCGTCTTTGCGATCGGAGTCGAGGATGCGGACGAAGGCGCCTTAAGGGAGATAGCCAGCGAGCCCTTCCAAATGCATGTCTTCCGTCTAGAGAATGCCACCTCACTCCATGACATAGTAGGCCGCTTAGTGTCCTCTGTGCACTCGTCCTTGGCTGCAGAGAGGCCTGGAGACACAGGGACCCTTAAAGACATCACAGGTAACGGCCACGCCGTCACGCTGCCTGCCGCCCGCCCGTGCCTGCCTCGCAGCCCTTCGCAGATGCGCTTGGCACCCGCTGGCCTTACAGCGCCGCCCTGGCTGGCTGACGCGCGGCGGGTGGATCAGGGAAGAGATGGCCGTTCACAGGCTTAAAAACAAAGGTTTTTCTCCTCCGCAGTCTCCTTCTGAGAGAGCGTGCACCCACACCCAAGAGGGTGTTTTTGGGAAACCATTAAATTTTAACTCAAAAAAACCCCACACCCCACCAAAGGTGCTCCTTAGGCGGGAAAGCCCCAGTGTGGCTGTTTGCGGCTGGATGGGAGGGTCGTCCCTGGAAGGTCACGCTGTGGTGGAGAGAGCACGTGGATGGGGTGGGGGCTGGGGGAGAGGGTGCCCGCCCTGGCGTCCAGTGGAGAAACGGAGGGAGCACCTCTCTCCTGCACAGCTTAGTTTATTCCAGAGGCTCGAAGGCGCTGGGACTGTAGGGAACCTTGGCTGTGGTGCAGCCCACATCTGTGAGAGGGCTGGAGTCCCAGGAGGTGAGTGACACGCAGTCAGGGAGGATCAGAGCCATGCACTTGGCTGGGGGTTCTGGGTCCGGTCTCGTCCTATGTCCCGGGTGCAACCAAGGCTCTCCTGCCCTGCCCGGCCCGCCAGCGCTGCTCCGGCTGCCCTGAGAATGCCTGACACGGCCCTGCCCAGCGCTGCAGGGACGCTGGCGGACCAACCGGAGGCTGTGCCGTTTGGCCAGCCAGACCCGGGACGCCCTCTCCAGTGCCGAGTGTGGGAGACGGACAGGGCAGGAGCGTGACGAGGCCTGGGCCACATCTACCGCCCACAGCGGTTCTGAGCAGCGCCCATGCAAGGCTCCCTCCTCAGTGGTGGGCGGGGCCGAAGGCTCCCTTTGTCTGACAACTGCCCAGGGAGCCAGATGCCAGTGCGGAACAGGGGGTCTTAGGAGCCTGGGCAGGGAGTGAAGGTGGAGTCGAGGCCTCAGGGAGAGACGGGGGGCAGGGAGGAGGACTGGGGGGCAGGGGAAAGGAACCAGCGGTCCCGGGCGGGCAGAGCTAGCACAGCCCCGGTGCTTCATTAGGTCGTCCACAGAACGGTTTCCCAGAGGTTGCCGTGATTTCGGCTTCGGTGGCGTGAGAGGACCACGCTCTCCTTCTGGCGGAGCGGGCCGAGGGACAGGCTGGGTCACTCACGTTCAGCCCCGAAAACAGTCCCCTCCTTCAAAGGGCGGGCTTCACCTCTGTCTGAGTGTCGGTCCTGCCGGATCATAGAAAAAGAACCTGGGACCCCCGAGAGCGCCCCAAACCACACGCTCCAGGTGACGAAGGGGCAGGGCCCAGAGGTTGCCTGCGCCCACCTGCTCCGGGTGCTGCTGTACCCTCAGTGTCCATGAGTCACCGCTCACCGCTGTTCTGGATGAAGGGACGACAACTAGTCCGTGTCAAACATCGTGTGGGGGGCAGGGGACAGCAGCCAACGGGACAGCCTTCATTTATCGATGTTTTGGCCAGGTCAGGAAAAAGGCCTCTGTGTTTAACCCTCATGTAAATGAACAGGCAATCAGATTACGAATGCCACCTGAGCCCGACAGCCCAGGATGTTTGCACACCAACGGCAAAACCTTTGTTTTTATGCTGCGAAAACATCTCTGTCTTCTAGTGCCCCGGCCACTAGCAGCCCTGGGGCGGACTCTCAATCCATCTGTGTTGTCTTTTCTAATTAACTTCACCGGCAGTTTTCCTAGAGTCATGTCCCACTGCATGTTCCACAGGAAAAACAAATAATTCTCTGCTATGGTTGTGGGAAAGGTAGTCACAACAGGAAGTAATTCTGCTGAGTTGGGGCAATTTCTCCCCATCACCTGCCCACCGTGTAGCTTTCCCCCCTAAATACATATATTTATATTTATGTACATAAATATGTATATGTATTTAGTGATCGCCACTGTTCCACATGAACTCAACTCAATCAGCCTCTGACAGTCGTGTTTTTCAAAATCCCTTGTATACGTGGATATAAGACAGAAAAGCTTTAAACTAAAGCAAAAGCGGAAGGCGGTCTACAGTCGGTTTCAGGATGCGCTTGCTCTGCCGTGCAAAACGTAAAGGTCTCAAGAACTCAGGCAGCCCCCCGACCACTTTGTGTTCGTGTAGGGCATGCAAGTGCGATCTTTCAAATTTGCTTTAAAAAAAAAAAGAAGGAAGCGCCCCGTGAGCTCAGGAAGGCCCGGTGCCCGCCCCATGTCTTCAGGAAACTAGCCTTTCCAATGGCATCGAAGGAGCCGGCGGTTTTTCCATGGACCTTGCTCAGTGTTTCCGTAGAACATGCCACAGGGGGTGTGAGGCATGAGCCTCGAAGGCAGAGAAACAAAGGGGCCCCTGGTGTGCATCCTAAGTGGGTCCAATTGCCCTCTGAGTCCCCCCAGCTCACTGAGGGGCCCTGCTGGACGCGGGACCCCTGGCTCTCCTGCCCCGCAAGGGTCTGGCTCTTCCGGATGACCCAGCATGCCCGTGTGTGTCCATCATGTGCGCATCAGAGGACAATGCTGTCCATTCAGTGATGACAAATTATCCAACGTTTTTCTATGACCCAAAGCTGTTTGGCCTTCGAGAAGAGACAGGTGCAAGGGGGTTTTAGCTTATGCATACCATTGTAAGTTGCAGTTAAAAATAAGAAATAAACGAATAAGAAAGGTGCCAGCCCGTGATATTTTCTACGATTGACCCTGGGATCACCGTTAATTCTTCTTTTAAATGTCTTGCTGTGCTAAGTGTGTGGCTGGCAAACCTTCCTTGGTCCCTCAGGGTCATTGGCTCAGGTCTGAGACAAGTTGAGGAATTCTGCGGTGTGATTGGCAGAACCCCTAGTCATGTGATGACACGAGCCATTTCATTGGCCGGCTATGTAGTCATACTGCAGGTACCGCCCTCCCCCAAATCCTTCAGGAATCCCATTGGCTAAAGAGTGGCCAGTGCTTCGGAATTCTTAGCAAAGACCCAGTCTCAGTGAGTTCTTGTGTGTGACGACAATTATTAATAACACAAGAAAAATTATGCTCATTAGACCTTATATTTCCGAGTCAATATCTTTGCCTAGGCGAGAAATTGGTCGGCAAAGATATGGCCAGGACCGTGTGTATTTGAGGAAGGAAAGGGAGGAGGCGGAGCTCCTCGCAACCCTGGCTGACGCAATGAGAGAGCTTGGGGGAGGTTTTGCTGCGCCAAAACTTTTCAATGTCATGAGATTAGATCTGTATCCCATTTCTGCAGTGGAAATGAAAGCAACGTTGTTGGCGCAAAGAAAAATAGTTTTAAATATAAAATGTTCACTGCCATTAAAAAGATCAGAATGAATGGTCTTATATATTATATTATAATTATACCCAAAATACAGTGTCCTGAAATCTCAGAATACAGATATTACGTATATTCACAGGAAATCCTTTCCCACTCAACCACGCATGGAAGTGACTAAACCGACAGCACAACAGTTTTCCTTCCTCTGCAGTTTAAATCAGTCTGATTTAAATGGTCTAGCTGAGCCTTTAAAATATTCTTCTCAGGTTTGCAGATTTATCGATTGCTCAGTGCTCCTCTGAAATCCCAGGTCCTAGTGTCAGAATGGAAGTGTCACAGTGGCCCTCACAGGGAGGGACAGAAGAGCCCTTGGCCGGCCGGCCGGCCAGCCGTTCTTCTGTCCGTCTGAGTACCCCAGAGCGAGCGCTGGTTAAGGGCCCACCAGGGGCGCGCGGTCCCAGGAGGCCAGCAGTGGAGGCTGTCATAGAAACAAGGTTGGATAATTATGTCATGGCTGGTTTCACGTCACCTTGCTTGGCCTTGTTCTGCATTACGTGACTGAATGAGAGGCAATAGCCTAGTCCCGGACCCGTGTGGGAGTTTCACGCAACTAGACATTGTATGGAACAAAAAAATCAAGCCAAAATTTCAGCTGAGTGTTTTTAAAATGAAAACTCTCAGTGTCGTTTGAGTTCTCCCTTTCAAACGAACTAAGTTGTACGCACGAGGTCACACTGGCTTTGAAAGAGAACAAAGAATACACAGGTCGCTCAAGGAATCACCACTGAGGTGGCGAGCCACGGAACCCTGAGTCTGACGTTCTCTTTTGCAGCCGTGGGTTTGCACTAAGGAAATTCTTACAATCACTTGAGGATAATACGAGAAATGTCCATCCCATCGTCGGGCCTTTGTTAATGTCCTCCTTTGTTTTCTTCCGGAGGTATGGTAATGCACAATTCCGTGAAACTTCATTGCCCTCCAAATTTCTAGAACATGTACCCATGTTCTCCCACAGAAAAGCAAATATGAGCCTTAAAAAGAGGGCAGAAAATGAAAATGCGATAGAAAGTTCCCTATTTTACACCGTCATTTCTGAGAAGTTGCCTCTTATCCATTCAGAATGCAGAACAAAAAGAGAACTTCACGTTCCTTAATCAACATGTGTTTCGTTTGTCCATATTTCGTGTTTCTTATTGGTTTCCAAAGAAACATGTCAGAACACTGAACGATGCATGTGGTCACTTGTCCTAACGCTTTCACATTTTTTGCATTTCTTTCTTTTAAAGCACAAGACTCTGCTGACATTCTTTTCCTTATTGATGGATCAGACAACACCGGAAGTGTCAATTTCACAGTCATTCGGGACTTCCTTGTAAATCTCCTTGAGAGACTGGCAGTCGGAGCTCAGCAGATCCGAGTGGGGGTGGTCCAGTATAGCGATGAGCCCAGAACCATGTTCTCCTTGGACGCCTACCCCACCAAGGCTCAGGTTCTGGATGCAGTCAAGGCCCTGGGGTTCATTGGCGGGGAGCTGGCCAACGTCGGCTTCGCCCTGGATTTCGTGGTGGAGAATCACTTCACCCGGGCAGGGGGCAGCCGAGTGGAAGAAGGGGTTCCCCAGGTGCTGGTCCTCATAAGTGCCGGCCCTTCTAGTGACGAGATCCGCGACGGGGTGGTGGCGCTGAAGCAGGCTAGCGTGTTCTGTTTCGTCCTCGGAGCCGAGGCCGCCCCCAGGGCGGAGCTTCAGTACATAGCCACCAATGACAACCTGGTGTTTACCGCCCCGGAATTCCGTAGCTTTGGGGACCTCCAGGAGCAATTACTGTCGTACATTGGTGGCGTGGCCCAAAGGCGCATTGTCTTGCAACCGCCAACCATTGTCACACAAGGTACGTATACCCTTCTCGCCGTTGAGGGGGCGCGGGGTGTTGGGTGGGTGGGGTTCTGTGGAAGGAAGGCGGGCACCTCCCTGGCTGATCCGGCCCGGGAGCAGCTGTAAGTATCACAGCCGAGTCCTCGAGGGGAGCTACGGGAGCTGGCTCTCGGGTGCGAGGTCTCGGACGGCGTGGTTCCTGAAACACCGAGGATCTGTGAGGGCCATCCCATCAGATGGCCCCTGGTCCAGGACGTATGCTTTGAGGGCCGGTTCGATGAACCTGACCCTGCAAGATGTCAAACGCCAGTGCGTCATCTCCTGGTGACGCGGTCGTGCTAAAACTGGGTGTCGGGGCCCCATGGCCATCCCGGGAAAGTCACCCCAGGACAAGGTCAGCCCGGGGGCAGTGTGCTCGCAGACATGAGGGGGCGTCCCCCCAAAGTCCTTTGCGTGCTGGGAGTCAAGAGGTGTGCTTCTGAAGGTAGGACATAAGGGAGCACTGGCTCGGTGCGGGCTTTCGGAGAACACTTCCCCGCGCAGGCCAAGTTCAGGGGCAGCTCTTTCGAGGGTCTTTGGCAAGAAGCCCAACTGGAGTCCTTTAAAAAAATAGCCAACCAGTCAAGTCCCTTAAATCTCCGTGTAACAACTGTGGGAGGTGGGCGGTGGATGTCAGACTTAGACAAGGAAACGGCAGTGCTTGGCGCTGCGGCGGTGACGGCAAGGACGGCGGACACAGGTGCTGCACGACCTGGGGGTCCCCTCTGTCCCTCGGGGAGCCCACCTGCGGTAACGGGCGCGCTGCCGGCCCGGTAAATGAGGACTGATGGGGCACTGCCCCCCGAAGCTTCTCTCGGTGATTCCAGCTCTGCCTCGGGTGGGCCTGCACCCCACGAAGGGGTGTCCCTGGGCTTGCCCACCTTTGGGAACTCCCACAGTTTCCACAGGGTTTGTGGACACCGACCGAGGGCCGTGGCTGCCGTGGCTGCCGTGGCGGGGGCTGGCCTTTGGGCCCCGGATCCTGCGTCAACCCTCTGCGTGGTGCTGGGCTGGCCATACGACGGCCTCTCGTGCTCCAGGGCCCGGAATCTGTGACCCGGGAGTGTCCCCAGGGGAGGAGGTAGCTCCGTTCCAGGAGGCATTTCCGATCCTTGCTCCTGCAGCGTGCGGCCCTCATTTCAGTGTCCCTGGCTTCCTGGGGAACGAAAGCGCCAGCCCCTCGCTGGAGGCGTCCCCCCCAGTCTCTGTGGTTAGCTTGTCAGTGCCCGGCAGGTGTGCCTGGCCGTGTGGCGGGAGCCAGGCGGTGGGCCGAGCCTGGGAGAGTCGGGGCGGGTGGGCGACACCAAGGTGGCGGCTGGCCTGACAGAGTACGGTGGGGGGGGTAGACGATGGGGTGTGAACCACGACTAAGCCGAATGTCCCCGGAGTCCGGCGGGTTTGAGGAGGACACCACAGGGGCCGTCAGGGGAAGAGGGGGGCCCAGCTCTTTAGACCGGGGGTCAGGGAAGGCGGGCCTGAGAGGTTGCAGGAAGGAAGGAGGCAGAGCACCTCTCCGTGGGGGGGGAGTCACACTGTGGGGCGAGGACAGGAGCCTGGCCCCCGCCGGCGGGGCAGGCGCTCACTGGGCACGGGGCCCCGAGAGGCAGGGACAGCTGTCTGTGGGCCCTCGAGTTCGAGAGGCGCCTGGGTGCTGGGTACTGATGTCACATGGGCAGAGAGGGCAGTCTGGCAGTGACCCGGCAGAGAGCCGGGTCTCGGAGACCAGGCTGCAGGGCTGTGCTCGTGTGGCGGGGAGGACGGGACCTGAGCAGAGAGCAGAGTCTGGGAGGGCCGTCCTGGGGGCGGGGAGCCAGGCTTGCTGGCGCAGCCTGGGGCTCTGACGCATCACACAGGCAGCCTGGTGATATGCGGGGAAGACAGGGGGCAGGATGGCGGCTCTGTCGGCAGCGGCTGGCGGAGGGAGGGCCGGGGAGCGGAGGGCCAGGCCCTGAAGGTGGAGGGAGGGAGGGAAGCGGAGCCTGCAGGGGCCGGTTGGGAGCAGGGCAGGCACCTCTGGGGCTTCGGGTGTGGCCGGAGGGGCGGGAGCCAGGGGTAGCTGGAGGGTGAGGCCGGGAGGGGGGAGGGGAGAGGGTGAGAGTTCAGAGCCCTTTCTGAAGACTCAAGGCCACCTGGGGCCTTAGACACAGGTGCCGGGGGCAGGAAGACAGGCTTTGTTGGCTTTCGGGGTCCCAGGGTCCCTGAGAGGAGCAGCCTGAGAGCAGCTCCGAGTCACCCTAAGGGCGGGTTGGAGGGAGACAGCACCGAGAGAGGGCGGTGGCGGGGGTCTGGACAGTTGAGGGGATTCGCTTGGAAACAGTTCAAGCCCAGGCGCCCGGGCCTGGGCCGCCAGGGCTGCGGGGCAGCCGTGTCCTGGGGGGTGAGCTGCATGCATGGGGAGGTTTGAGTGGCTGCACGCCCGTCCCGTCCTTCACGGAGCAAAGGAGCGGGGAGGGAGGAGGCAGGGTTCGGGACACGCGGTGAGTTTCAATCCCGCGTGTGTGCAGGTCTCTGCAGACCCGAGAACTTGACACTGATTGTTCACACCGCAACTCGCCGCCTCCGCTGGGGCCCCCCGCACGCCCGTCCTGGGTGCTCGGGGTCCGTGTGCGTTTCCCCGCCTCCTCTGAAGCAGGGCAGCGCGGAGGGACAGGCGCCAGCGCGGTGAACGCCGAGGGCGGCGGAGGGCTGCGCGTGGTCTGTCCGGCCACGCGGAATGACGGCGGCCCCTCACGGCCAGGCAGCGGCCCTAGTGAGCAGAGGCCGCCTGCCGCAGCCCGCACCGCCCGGGTCCCTGTGGGTCCCGGAGGCCCTGCCGGTTTCTGGCCTGGGGGGCGGGGTGGCGGACTTCCAGTCTCCGTTCCCGGGACTCAGGCGGGCTGCCGGCGTGGGGACACGGCCTGGGGACAGGGCTCTCACTTCATGGTTCGTCTTTGCGTTTCCCCACCCTCACCACGCCACGTAGAACCCTCAGGACCCAGGGCTCTTACCTAAAACGCTTCGGTGCCACTCACCGGCTTCGACACGGATTTCCCTTTCACAAGCGTTTTATGGTGCCCGGTCACTGGCGTTTTTCTTTCCCTGCCTCAAAGTCCAGGCGGGGCGGCCAGAACGGAAGGGGCAGGGTGCTCACGCGCTCAGCGTCTGTCTGCCCCTGGCTGCGGGTGTCCGTGCGCCCAGCGGTGGCACCAAGGGCCCTCGGATCGCTTCTTCAGTGACCTGACCCGTGGCCCCCTTTGGCGCTTGCTGACTTTTTCAGTGACAGCTCGCTGGCCAGCCGGGGGCTGGGAAACCGCATCCGTTCGGTAATAAAGGGCCGAATGGGTGGGGACGGCGGGGGAGCCCGCGCTGCCATCCCGGTAGGGGAGGATGGTGCTCGTGTGCGGGTGACAACGGGCCCCCCGCGGGCCTCGGGTTAGCCAGAGCCGGAGGGGACGCTCTGTCGTCCGCGCGGAGCCGCGGTTGCCCGCCGTGGTCAGACCGCCCCACTCACCCTCTCGCGTTGCCGCCCACAGTGGTCGAGGTCAACAAGCGGGACATCGTGTTCCTGGTGGACGGCTCCTCGGCGCTGCCCACGGCCAGCTTCAACGCCATCCGAGACTTCATCTTCAGAGTCATCCAGAGGCTGGAGGTCGGGCCAGATCTCATCCAGGTGTCAGTGGCTCAGTTCGCGGACACCGTGAACCCCGAGTTTCACTTCAGCACCTACACCACCAAGAAGGAGGTGGCTGCGGCCGTGCGGAGGATGAAACCCCTCGGAGGCTCCGCACTGTACATGGGCTCCGCTCTGGACTTTGTCCGGAACAACCTGTTCACCAGTGGGGCCGGCCACCGGGCCGCCGAGGGCGTCCCGAAGCTCCTGGTGCTGATAACGGGCGGGAAGTCTCTGGACGACGTCAGCGGGCCGGCCCAGGAGCTGAAGAGGGACAGTATCCTGTGCTTCGCCGTGGGCAGCAGGGCGGCCGACCAGGCTGAGCTGGCGGACATGGCCTTCGACACGTCCTTGGTGTTCACCCCGGCCGAGTTCCAGGTCGCGCCCCTGCAGGGCATGCTGCCCAGCCTGCTGGCACCGCTCAAGACAGTCTCCGGGACCACCACCGAAGGTACTCGAGGGGGGATTGGGGGTGGGGGGGGCCCATGCAGAGCCTTTGGGCGACACGGCAGAGGGACGTTTTACGTGTGCCAGTTAGGAGACAATCCGTAAGTGGAGGAGGCGGGTGCGACAGATGGCACTGATGTCCTGTTTCTGCTGCTGGCCCTGAGCGGGGACCTGGGGGACTTCCCAGGCATGCCATGCAACTTCGGGTCCTGAGACGCCACAGGAGACGTCACGGTGCGCCTTCCGGGCCCGTCAGAGAAGAGCTCCGTGGCTTCAGCCGTAGGGTCGGGGCCCGACTGTCTCTGAAGCTTCTAGCGGAGGGGTCCCCTCTCGGTTCCTGTGCCTTGTCAGGTCCCAGCGCTCTGTGTCTGCTGGGGACCCCTGTCCAGCCTCCTTTTCCCCTCCCGCCCCAACCCCGGGACGGAGCCTGGACCTTCCCCTCCTGAGCGGAGCGGACAGCCCAGCCTGTTCCTCAGGGACCCGGGCAGACGCTGACCCGCTGTCCCCCCCTCTACGGGATGTCCTGTGGGAAGCACAGGGAACCCGTGGGCGTGAGCAGAAAACCCAGCGGCTGTTCCAAGCCCTCAGGTGGTGCGGCTGTCGGTGGGAAGTTGTTGAAACAACGCCCAGGCAGTCCCCGAGCTGATGCACAAGTGGGCCTCGCCCGCCGTCCTCCCTGAAGACGGATTTCCCGGGGGCCGGCTCTCTGCCTCAGGAGCCCCCCTCCCCCGAGAGGGTCTGTGCTTGGCCCCAGTTGCGTGAATGTGCGCTTTCTCCTCTGTCTCTCTGTCTCTCTCTCCCCACCCCCCGCCTCCCTCATGCTCCTGAAAACCCCAATCCACACCCTCACAGCCAAAGTACAGTTTGGCAGAACATAGGATAAAGTTAGTTGCTAGGTTTAAATTTTCTAAGATGCCAGGGGACAGTTGGGAAAGAATTTTTTAAAAGGCATGGACTTGGATGCGGGGGGTGGGGTGGGGGGGACTCCTGTTGGAGAATCACACCTTTGACCCTTCATGGGTGCAGCCTCAGCCAAACCCCGCAAGGGACTCTTTTCGCTCTCCCGTGTTCCCGTGATCCGGGGTTCCCATGATCCCATGCTCTCGCTCCAGAGGGATTCCCCCGCGCGCCCTGTTAACAAAGGAGAAGAGCACGAAGGGACGCGTGGGTGCCCCTAGGACAGCTCGAGATGAGAACAGACTGGTCTTATGAAGCATCTTTAGTCCTACGGAAGTCGTGTTCTGGGGTGAACTCAGGGGACCCTGGCTGTGTCTGCGCCCCGGGACACGGGCGAGGCCGAGCTCCCTGGCGCCCTTGCAGAATCCACCCGCAGGGAAGGGGGCTCCGCTTCAAGGCTCCGCCCCTTCCTGTCGGCCGGAAACGCTGTGCCTTTGGCGTCGCGTCTCCCCGTGAGCCAGCTTGGCCTCTCCTGCGCATGTCCACGCGCCTCGCACACCGGCCCCGGTGGGGGGCGCGGGCAGCCCTCTGCCACGTGCCCCGAGCCGGCCGTGCTTCGCCTCCCCGGTGTGTCTCAGCGTCCTGCGTGTTGGTTGGCATGCGTGCCCGCGGCCGGCACACATGGGCAACCCCCGTGGGCGTGTGTCTCTGTCTCACGTTGTCCTCTGTGCTTCACTGCAGTTCACGCAAACCAAAGGGATCTCCTCTTCCTTTTGGACGGATCGCTCGGCGTCGGACACAGCAACTTCCCCTACGTGCGAGACTTTGTCATGAACGTAGTTAACAGCCTTGATGTTGGAGGCGACAGGATTCGCGTGGGTGTAGTGCAATTTAGTGACGCTCCGGTGACGGAGTTCTCCCTAAACACGTACCAGACCAAGGCTGACGTGCTCGCGCACCTGCGGCAGCTGCAGCTGCAGGGGGGGTCGGGCCGGAACCTGGGCTCCGCCCTGCGCTACGTGCGCGCGCACCACTTCACCGAGGCCGGCGGCAGCAGGATCCGCGCGCACGTCCCGCAGCTGCTGCTCCTGCTTGCGGCCGGCCGGTCCGAGGACTCCTACCTGCACGCCGCCAATGCGCTGGCCCGCGAGGGCATCCTGACCTTTTGTGTGGGAACCGAGCAGGTGGATAAGGCCGAGCTCGAGCAGATCGCTTTTAACCCGAGCCTGGTGTATCTCGTGGACGATTTCAGCTCCCTGCCGGCCCTGCCCCAGCAGCTGATTCAGCCCCTAACCACGTATGTCAGTGGGGGTGTGGAGGAAGTCCCGCTGGTCCAGCCAGGTAAAGCTCCCCCGCTGCGCCGGGCTCCCTCCCCCCGCCCCTCCCCGGCGGGCAGGCGGCCCAGCTCGAACTCCAGAGCGTGGGGACCTGTAGGAATTCGATGGACTCCCTTTGGTCGAAGCATTTTGAATGGGGGCTGGAGAGGTGGCAGTGCGCTCTCTGTCTGAAGGGTGCTCACGAGTGGCAGCAAGGGTGGGAATTCGGCTGGTGCTCCTCGCCCCTCGCCCCACCCTTCATCAGAAGCTGCTTGCCCCACCGATGCCGGCCATCTGCATTCTGGGGTGCACATAGAGGTGGAAGTTGAGAGGTGCCAGCAGACAGAGACGGGTCCCCCTCCCCCATGAGGACGCCCTGGGGTCAATGGGAAGTCTCAGTTCTTTCCCTTAGGCGACATTTTTTATGTGCACAATCTGCTGTATCTGGGCCAGAGGCTGCGGCTTTCTGCGACGGTAACAGAGTTTCCAGAGGCAGCCCGGCCCGGGGTTCTTCCTGCAGAGGAACACGGGGGAGGCAGAGGGGTGCCGAGTGGTCCAGCTGCTGATGTCTCGCAGACGAAGGGTGGGGGGCGGGCAGGTTGAGCCCACTGAAGCGCACCAGAGAATCCTAGGGAGCATTCGCATGGCTCGGTGGGGCTCCGTCAGGGGTCGCCACTCTTGTTTTGATGTCTAAATACAGCAGATTGGGGCGCAGTGACCCACAGAGCAGTGATGGGCACTGTTCTGGGTGCTGACCTATACCCTCCAACTGGATGAAACGGTGATCCCGTGAGAACAGACAGGTGCGTGTCACTTGCCCTCAGGCAGTGACAACGCCCGCCTTTGTCACGAGAGGCAGATCGGCTTTTAAGAAAAAGGACAATGAGGGCCCCGAGTTCAAGCGTTCAGTGTACAATCCGGAAACACTGTCCGTGGTAGAGCGGTTGCCCCCTGAGGCCAGAGCGTGACCCCCCGGGCCCCCCCGTTGGTTGCTCAGGGGAGGGGATGCAGGGCCAGCTGGAGTAGACCCGTCTGGTTCTTCTAGTCCTTCGCCTGTACTCGCTTCCTGTGAAGGGAGGGCCGGAGTAACTCGGGCGTTTTAATGACGGCTGTGGGGGGCGGGGCGGGCTTTGTCTTCCCTCGCCGGCACGGTGGTCTTCAGATGCCTTGTGCGATGCCCACGGCCAGACTCGCGTGCGGCCGGGCTGAAGCCCATCCCCGCTCTGGAACCTCACTCACTGTGCCCTCACCTCCTTGTTTCGCAGAAAGCAAGAGAGACATCCTCTTCCTCTTTGACGGCTCCGCCAATGTCCTGGGCCAGCTGCAACCCGTCCGTGACTTCCTCTACAAGATCATCGACGAGCTGGACGTGAGGCCGGAGGGGACCCGCGTGGCCGTGGCTCAGTACAGCGACGACGTGCGGGTGGACTCGCGCTTCGACCAGCACCAGAATAAGCCCGAGATCCTGAACCTGGTGAAGCGGATGAAGTTCAAGACCGGCAAGCCCCTCAACGTGGGCTACGCCCTGGACTACGCCGCCAGATACATCTTTGTGGAGTCCGCCGGGAGCCGCATCGAGGAGGGCGTGCCTCAGCTCCTGGTGCTGCTGGTGGCGGGGAAGTCGTCCGATCGCGTGGAAGAGGCGGCGCGGGTTCTGAAAGGCAGGGGGGTGGTGATTTTCGCGCTGCAGGCCAAGAACGCAGACCCCGCCCAGCTGGAGCTGATAGTGCTGTCGCCCGCCTTCATCCTGGCTGCCGAGTCGCTCCCCAAGATCGGCAACCTTCAGCCCCACGTGGTGAATCTCTTACAAACAGTGCCGGTCGGGCCGACAGCACCAGTGCCAGCACCAGGTATGGCCCGGAGACTCCGGCTGCTTCCGCAGCTCAGTTCTGCAGTGCGGGAGTGATGGTGGGTGGGTGGCCGGCTGTGGGCCGTTGGAGGGAAGCCCCACGGGTGTCTGGGGAAGTGGGAAAATAACAGGCGGTCTCTGCAGGAACGACGAGATAGGGCTTTTCTTTCCCCGCTTGGACTCTCTGGCTGCTCTTGGAGGCGAAACAGGAGCGGTTATTTTTAGGGACATGAGAGTCTTTCACAGTAAGACGCATGCTAAAGATCTAGACATATTTGTGGTTGGAAACCCTTTGAAGAAAGACGACTTTACTATATGCATAATAGAAGCCACATGGCATGGTTACACTGTAGCTAAAGGGCTCTCCATGTTCCTGCTCCCCCGAGTCCTGTTGCGAGGGGTGTGCCCCCGAGTTAGAATTCCTTCGCTCCGTTCACCAGCAGCCCACGGCGTGATGGGAGGCGGGCGCAGTTCCCGCCACAGACACTGCAGGAAGCATTTCTCACCGACAGTCCCACGCCTTTGTGTTTGACCGCCTTCCAGCTGCTGATCCCAGTGCAGTGAAAAGGGTCATTCATTTCACGGGGGATCCTTTCGATGGGACCCCGGGGACCGGGCGTTCCCCTGGTGACTGTGGGTGGGGGACTGTGACCCAGACGTCTGGGTCGCATTTACCCCCCCCAACGGATCCGGGGCGGCTTGCAGCGAATTATCTACGGCCGCTTGCCTGCAACGGGGCGACGGTCCCGCAGGCTGTGCCCACCCTCTCTCCCCGGCCCCTGGCGTGTGTTTCTTCCCGAGCCAGCCTCTGTGCCTCTGAGCGTTGGCAGGGCTGCCCGGGCCTGGGGCGGCTGGTACACCCGCCCCGCCCCCCTCTGCCAGGGCTGCTGCAGCAAATTGCCGCACATGGGGTGGCTTTAAACCAAAGGGAATTCGTTATCTCACGGTCGTAGGGGTCAGAAATGCAGACTGAGAGTCGCTGGGCTAACGTCAAGGTGTCCAGTAAGACCGCATTCCTCCTGGAGGCTCCCCGGGGTTGTCCCTTCCCCCACCTTCTCAGTTTCCAGAGGAGCCTGCAGCCTTTGGCTAGCGGGCCCTTCCTCCACCTTCCCAGCAGCAGCAACACAGTATCTCCTTGCTCCCGGGACTTCTGCCCCCACCCCCTCGCTTGTCCCTCCGGCCCGATCCCCTCCCCCCACCGTCTCCCTCTTATAAGGACATCCCCTAAGTCACGCTCTGCTCTGGGGATTCAAAAGCGGACATTTCTGTGGGGCCGTTCTTCGGCCCATCACAAGTGGCCCAAGGCCGTCCCTCTGGTGTCCCGTCCGAGTCACACGGCTGTCTTCCTGCTGTTCCAGAGGCGAAGGACGTGGTGTTCCTGCTCGATGGCTCGGATGGGGTCCGGAGAGGCTTCTCCCTGCTGAAGGATTTGGTCCAGCGGGTGGTGGAGAGCCTCGACGTGGGCCCCGACCGCATGCGTGTGGCCGTGGTGCAGTACAGCGACCGCACCAGGCCCGAGTTCTACCTCAACTCCTACATGGACCAGCAGAGCGTGGTCAGCGCCGTCCGCGGCCTGGCCCTGCTCGGGGGGCCGGCCCCCAACACCGGCGCCGCCCTGGACTTCGTCCTCAGGAACATCCTGATCCGCTCGGCTGGGAGCAGGATCGAGGAAGGCGTCCCCCAGCTCCTGGTCATTCTCACGGCCGACAGGTCGGGAGACGATGTGAGCGGCCCCTCCGCGGACCTGGAGAGGGCCAGGGTGGTGCCCGTCGGCATTGGCATCGGCAACGCCGACATCAGGGAGATGCGGACCATCTCCTACATCCCCGACTTTGCCGTGACCGTCCCCACCTTCGGGGAGCTGGCAAACGTACAGCAGCAGCTGTACGGGAAGATCCGGCTCAGTAAAGAAGAGCTGATCCGGTTGAAGGAAACTGTTATTTCAACAACGCCAGGTAAGGCCAGGCCACCCTTCCTTAAAGCAGCCGGGGCGGCTTGCGGGGACTGTGGGCTGCAAAGTGTTCTCAGCGTGTGTCCCCTGCCACGCAGGGTGGGGACTGCCACTCCAGGAAGGAGAGGAGTCACGTGTGTTTGGTCTCAGGGGCTGGCAGTGGCAGAGGCTTGGGGAGGTGCTAAGGTTCACGTTTAAAGTCGGACAGAGGGGCGTGTGCCTCGCCCGCGGGGTAGGCGGCCCTAGCCCAGCAGGGAGGCTTTCGCGTGGGGGCCCCCAGGGCCGGGCTGCCTCCTCGGCGACCGCAGTTCAGGGCCCTCTCAGCTGTCCCCAGCAGGCCCAGCTGGCAGCCTTCCGTGACCAGGGCCCTGGTCGGACCCCAGGCGCGGTGTCAAGCTGTGGAGCACAGCCTCTGAAATACTGGTTTCTCCAGAGCCGGAGTGTGACGACGGCTTTTGAATTTGCTTAGTGCCGAGAAGTGTCCTAACTGGCAGGACGGCCGCCCGGCCGTCTCCGTTGCCGAAGTGTATCCCAGACCCTGCTTCCCGTGCGCTCCCCCAGGCCTGGCGACGAGACACTGGCAGGCGGTGGGAGCCCGGCCAGCCGCCGGGAAGGAAGGGGCCTGGGCGGGGGTGGTCACAAGGGGGACGGGCAGCTGCGTCTTCTCCTGGTGGCCCACCTGCTCCAGAACGCTGTCTGCATCCGCGCAGCGTGGAGCGGGGTGTGGGTGGGGGGCGGGAAGGGAGGAGAAACAGCCAGGGAGAAAAGTCAGATGCAGGACACAGAGCCTTGGGGAGAGTGAGGGAGGCGAGGGGTCGGCTTCCCCTGGCGGGTGTGCAGGGCAGAGGGCAGACCGGCCCCCAGGCTTCCGGGGCACGTTCCCGAGGGCTTGTCATCAGACAGACGTGGGAGCCTGTGAGACGCACAGAGGGAAAGAGGTGCCGGCTAATCGGGGCGCTTTGCGAACCTCCAGTACGGTGGCTGGCAGCGTTTGCAACTCCCTTCCCGCAGGGGCCCTCCCACGCACGCCCTGAGGCTGTGTGGCCAGCCTCCCGAGTGTGCCCTTGGGGACTGCCCTCGCGGCGAATGGGCCGCTGCTTTACCTGCAGCGCGAGCCCGCACTCCTACGGCAACAAGGCTCCAGCCCCGCCCCCAGCCACACCCCGCCCAGCTTCCGCTAGGCCCCGCCCTCTCAGCCGGCTACCTGGTGCGGGCTCCTCTGGAATCCCAGTTCCCTGGCCAGCGTCAGGGATTGGAGAAGAGCTTCCGGAAGCACCACGTGGTTTCTCCCAGCACTGGCGTCCTTGCCTCAGCTCCGCCCCCTCCCCCTTGACCCCGCCCCCTCCCCTGTCTGCTCCGGGCTCTCCTCCCACCCACGCTGGGGCGTCCTCCCTCCCGATCGCCCGTTCTTCCCACGCATGGGGAGGGCGACGTTCTCCCTGCTGCAAACGCATTGCTTTCTTTCTGGCTTAGACACTCCCTCCCAATGAATGCCCCGTGCCCCGTCCCGTGGTGCCTCAGCCCCCATTCAGATCCCACCCCCTCCACATCTCCTCTCTGAACCCCCTGTCTGCCCTCCCCCAACGCCGCTGCACACAGGGTGCTCCTCCCCAGGGCCCTCCGTCTGACCAAACCCAATAGTCGGTTGTCAGGTGCCTTCTGGCTTGACCCACCCGCAGCATCTGTCGCAGCGGAGGTCCCCTCCTTGCTGAGTACCATCCCCACGCCACCGACACGTGGCTCTGCGTGGCCAGTCTCTGCCTCCTTCGCAGTGACCCCGCCCCAGCCTTGCCGGTTCCTGTCCTCTTCCCGACTTTTAATCACGTGGCCGGGATGCAGGCGTTTCAGCCGAAGCCGTTAGAGTCAGGACACTTTGCCCGTTATGTGGTGGTTCCGCGACAGGCCGGGAGGTGGTCGGCTCGTGCTAAGAATCAGGTGCCGGTGAAAGCGGAAACCCCCGATGTCGTACGTTTAGTCCCAGATGCTGGCAGCAAGAAGGACGTGGTCTTCCTCATCGACGGGTCCCTGCGCGCCGGCCCCGAGTTCCAGTACATCCGCACGCTCATGGAGAGGCTGGTGGACTCCCTGGACGTGGGCTTCGACACCACCAGGGTGGCGGTCATCCAGTTCGGCGAGGAGCAGCCCAAGGTGGAGTTCCTGCTCAACGCCTACTCCAGCAAGGAGGAGGTGCGGAACGCGGTCCGGCAGCTGCGGCCCCGGGGCGGGAGGCGGGTCGACATCGGCAGCGCCCTGGATTTCGTGTCCAAGAGCATCTTCAAGAGGCCCCTGGGGAGCCGGATCGAAGAAGGCGTCCCTCAGTTCCTGGTCCTCATCTCGGCCGGGCAATCCGGGGACGAGATGGACGACTCGGCAGTAGAGCTGAAGCGCTCCGGCGTGGCGCCCATCACCGTGGCCCGGAACATGGACCCGCGGGAGCTGGTGAAGATCTCCCTGAGCCCCGAGTACGTGTTCTCGGTGAGCACCTTCCGGGAGCTGCCCCGCCTGGAGCAGAAGCTGCTGACGCCCATCACGACCCTGACCTCCCAGCAGATCCGGCAGCTGCTGGCCAGCATCCCCAGTCCTCCGCCAGGTGAGCGGGGTGCTCGCTGTGGCTGTCTGTCTCGGGGGTGGGGGGGGGCGCGGTGTCGATAAGCGACAAGGAGCGGGCTCAGAGATCCACGGTGCTCATGGTGAGTGCCGTGGGAACGCAGGCGCGCCGGTGGGCCTCGCGCTCTGTGCAGGCGGGAGGCGGGCCGTGGGACGCCGCCGGGCTGGGGAGGGCTTCTGCTGGGACCCGAGCTCGTGGCAGGTGAGTCTGCGGAAGGCTCCGGGAAATGGGCCTTGGCCCCGATAAGACGCCGTCAAGAGAGGGAAGTAACCCCAACGCGAGTGGGTGCCTTGGAGCCGCTCAGGGCTGCGGCCGCCGGGCGCGTCGAAGCCCCGGTCGCTCCCCTCGGCCGGGACAGAGGGCCGTTTGGTTATTTTTGTCTTCTCTTCGTCCACGTCCACGCGTGGCGATGGCCGCGTGACCTCCTTTTTGTCTTGATGCCTCGTGGTCACCACGTGGCTTCTCCCGACGCTGGGGCCCCCCTGCGGTCTTTGCGACCCGCGGGAGAGCCCGGGGTCTGCTGTGTGTGCGGGGCGGCACCTCTCCCTCTCTCAGCGTGACCGGCTCAGGGGCTCCGCTGCTCCCACCGCCGGCAGCCCGGTGACGTGAGAGCCGAAAGGTTGAGCTTGACGAGCGGAATCTTATGAGCCGTGTAACGCATGGCATCTAAAAAAATACCCAGAATTCTAACTAAGAGGAAAGCAGGACTTTCGGATTCATTTTTTTTAGTTAAAAAGTGGGCTCCTGGAAAGATCTAGGAGAAGGAACATTGAAAGTAAAAACTTGGTATACATGTTGGAGACACGGGAGCCAAAGACACCCACTGACGGCAGCAGCGGGGGCGGGGGCCACAGCCACCCTTTGGGAGACGGAGGGTGTCGTCTGGGCGGCCAGCAGCTAAGGAGAGGGCCTTTGCCCTCAGCGGGACCCCTCTTCTTGTGCCACAGGGATGGTGGTCTGGGGACCTCTGTGCTTTCTGGTGGGGACCGTGCACGATTCTGTAGGTTACGGTTCGGTTCCCAGGATCTGTTTCTAAGTATCGCTTTGATTTTTCAAATCAGTTGTAACCCGGACCACAAAGCCGAAATTAAAATTGAGTCAGCTCAGAAAATGTTGGAGAACTTAAAATATTTCAAGACGTGGCCACCGTTTGGGTGCATAAGGCCCGATTTTAATGATTATTTTAAAAAAGAAGACCCAAGCTATAAACACATGGGACTAGGGTTATAGTTTTAATCTTTTTTAAAAAAGATTTTATTTATTTTTTAGAGAGGGAAGGGAGGGAGAGAGAGAGAGAGAGAGAGAGAGAGAGAGAGAGAGAGAGAGAAACATCAGTGTGCGGTTGCTAGGGGTCATGGCCTGCACCCTAGGCATGTGTCCTGACTGAGAATCGAACCTGCGATGCCTGGTTTGCAGCCCATGCTCAATCCACTGAGCTACGCCAGCCAGGGCTACAGTTTTAATCTTAATGCTGGGTGCAATAGGCCACCAAGCCCAGGCTGAAACGCCGAGGGCAGACACAGGGGCACGCGGCCGCCTGCCCCGTGCCGAGCCCCCCTCTGCTCCCTCCCGTCCGCAGCTCTGGAGAGCGACGCAGCCGACGTGGTCTTCCTGGTGGACAGCTCGGAGGGCGTGCAGCCCGAGGGCATTGCGCACATCCGGGACTTCATCATCAAGATCGTCCGGAGACTCAACGTGGGCCCCAACAAAGTGAGGGTCGGGCTCGTGCAGTTCAGCAACGAGGTCTTCCCCGAGTTCTACCTGAAGACCCACAAGTCCCCGGCCGCCGTGATCAGCGCCATACGCCGCCTGGGGTTCCGGGGCGGGTCCCCGCTCAACACGGGCAAAGCTCTGGAGTTCGTGGCGAGGAATCTCTTCGTCAAGTCCGCCGGGAGCCGGATAGAGGACGGGGTGCCCCAGCACCTGGTCCTGTTTCTGGGCGGCAAGTCCCAGGATGACGTGTCCAGGTTTGCCCAGGTGATCCGCTCCTCGGGGATCGTGAGTTTAGGGGTGGGGAGCCGCCACGTGGACAGGACGGAGCTGCAGACCATCACCGACAACCCCAGACTGGTCTTCACCGTGCAAGAGTTCAGAGACCTCCCCAACCTGGAAGACAGGGTCATGAGCGCTGTGGGGCCCTCTGGGGTCACGCCGGCCCCTCCGGGGGTGCCGATGACGCCCCCGCCACGGACAGGTAAGAGCAGTGGGACCCGCGACTGTGGGGTGGGGTGCAGACTTTTTTTTCAATTGAAAAATGTCATTAGCATTCATTTGAGTGATTTTCATCTCATAGGGTTGTTGCTCCAGATAATATTAGCAATTAAATACTGGAATAACAATTTAGTTGAAATTGTAGAAGGAAACATATCCCAGAAAGCCAAGGGTTACTGATCTCCTGCCCCCTTCCCCCACCCTTGAGATGTCCACGGGCTTCCCCGAGGTTAAGGTAGCTGAGAGGCGCCCGCAGGTGCACTGAGGGGTGACCACCGGTATTGGGTCTCGGGGACAGGGCGGCCTCAGGGCAGCCGGCCAGCCCACGACCCGCTCTGCTCTGGTCTGGACCGCCTGGCGGAGTTAGGAGGTGACCCCAAATGCCCCTGATTTTCAGCAGTGTCCCACCAAGCTCTCAGCATGCGGGCAGGCGGCCCTCCAAAGGTGTGTGGGGTCTGCTTCCTGTTCTGCGAGCGGTCCCTGCCGGCCTGCCCTTGCTGTGCCTCCAGCACGTGTCCCCAGTCCTTGCCAGGTGACGGCCTTGCCAGGTGACGGCCTTGCCAGGTGACGGCCTTCCTCTGGACCGGAGGGAAGTGTTGGGTGGCCCTTCCCAGGACACCTGGAGTCAGGGGTGGCACAGCAGAACTGCATTCCGGCCGGGACGGCCAGGACTCAGTTTCTCTGAGTTCTCCTGTTTCCCGTCCTTTGCCTTCCAGCCATGTGCCATCTATCTTGTGCCCAGCGTAGCGGTTTGAGGGCCGTGCCCTCGGAAACCACAGAGGCGTGGGGTGTGGCCGTGTGTCGGTCACAGGGCTGCCTCGCCTCGGCGATCTTCATGTGTGTTCTGTGTACCGGCCGCGGCCACGGAAGCCAACCCTGTCCCCCTTTTCGTTCCGGTCACCCTCAGAACAAAAGAAGGCGGACATCGTGTTCCTGCTGGATGGCTCCATCAACTTCCAGCGGAGCAGCTTCCAGGAGGTGCTGCACTTCGTGGCCGACATCGTGGACACGGTGTCCGGGCCGGACGACTCCATCCAGGTGGGGCTGGTCCAGTACAACTCCGACCCCACCGACGAGTTCTTCCTGAAGGACTTCTCCACCAAGCAGCAGATCATCGACGCCATCAACAAGGTGGTCTACAAAGGGGGGCGGCAGGCCAACACCAAGGTGGCCTTGGAGCACCTGCGGCTGAACCACTTCGTGCCGGAGGCCGGCAGCCGCCTGGACCAGCAGGTCTACCAGGTGGCCTTTGTGATCGCCGGAGGCAGGTCCGTGGAGGACGCGCAGGAGGCCAGCTTGGCGCTCACCCAGAAGGGCGTCAAGGTGTTCGCGGTGGGCCTGGGGAGCGCCGACGCCGTGGAGCTCGGGAAGATCGCCTCCAACAGTGCCATGGCCTTCCGCGTGGGCAGCATCCAGGAGCTGTCGGAGCTGAAGGAGCAGGTGCTGGAAACCCTGGACGCCGCCATGCAGAAGAACCTGTGTCCGGGGCAGACGGACGTGGCCAGAGGTAGCCCTCTCCGCCCTGGCGCACCGCTGTGCTTGGCTGGCTCAGCTGCCTAGATTTGTCTAGACCCCCAGCGCCGGCCCAGGGGCTCCTTAAACATAACGCCCTTCCTCCGGGCATTTATGGACCCCTGTCCGCCTGGGTGGACTCCTGGTGGTCACCTTGCCCGCTGTGGGGTGTCCCTCCAGGATAAGGGGGAGGCCAGTCTCTCTTGCTTTTATAGGTCTTGCTTTCTCTCTGCATTCTTTAATCCCCCAAGAATTCCGACTCTCGACCCCCGTTTCTGCCCGTAGATTTATTAGATCAGTGATAGGAGATCAGAGTATTTGAGCTCTCGGGTGCATTTAGGTTCAAGCACGAACTTGGGAGGCACCTAAATACAACTGAGCGTCACGCCAGCATAGACGAGGAACACGCAGGGTCTGCACTGGTGCCCCGGGGAGATGGGTGGACGGGCTACTTCTCGGAGTTCAGCCGCACGAGCATTCACCTTGCCCTCTGCGTCAGGCGCCCTGGCCCCTGGCCCCGGGCTGTGCCGGGGTGTCGGGCTCATCTCCACAGCCCCCCTTAGAGCTCACCGTCTGCTTCCACCCCCGCCCCCCCGCAGCCTGTAACCTGGATGTGATCCTGGGGTTCGATGGCTCAGGAGACCAGAACGTGTTTGTGGCCCAGAGGGGCCTCGAGTCCAAGGTGGAGGCCGTCCTGAACCGCATCAGCCAGATGCAGAGACTCAGCTGCAGCGGCGGCCAGATGCCCGTCGTGCGGGTGTCCGTGGTGGGCACCACGCCCGCGGGCCCCGTGGAGGCCTTCGACTTCGCCGAGTACCAGCCGGAGCTGCTGGAGAAGTTCCAGAACATGCGCAGCCAGCACCCCTACGTCCTCACGGCGGACACGCTGAAGGCCTACCAGAGCAAGTTCCGGCAGTCCTCGCCGGACAGCGTGAAGGTGAGCGGGGCCGCGCCGGTCGCCGGGAAGCCCGCGCGGTGTTCCGGGAACACCGGGCACGTTCCGTGGCCGAGGCAGTGCCTCTGGCGCTAGCCATTCCCTCGGCCCGCCGCCGCGTTCCGGAGGGCAGCGTCTCCCCGGCCTCGCGTCAGCCCTCTGAGAGAACACCCGGGAAACCACTCACGGAGCCTGAAGGAGCTGCCTTTGTGACCAGTGCACGTCCGCGGTCCCAGCTGTTAAATGGTTCTGTTCCCCGTGCAAGCTCGCTCCCTCTCCGGGCACACGCCTGTGGTTTGCTGTGGTGTGGTGCGCACACAGTTCCCAGAGATGACAACACACACACACACACACACACACACACACACACACACACGGGGGAGTGAGGTAACGGTTTTCACCTTTGTTGCTGCCTGTGGTTTTGGATGAATCAAACGCCCCCGCACACCACTCCCTTCCCCGCCGGAGTAACGGCAGGGCAGCCAAGCGCCGGGGCCGCGGGGCCGCGGGGCCGCGGGGCCGCGGGCCCCGACCTCCGCCCCAGTCTCCTCGGCTGCGGGCAGAGGGGTTCCGGTGGCGGCCAGCGCTCCCTCGCAGGCGCCTGTGCTGTTTCTCTTCGGTTGCGGCTGGAGTTTGACTTGTCTCCTGTTTTCAGGTGGTCATTCATTTTACTGACGGGGCGGACGGAGACCTGGACGCTTTACAGAAGGCCTCGGAGGAGCTCCGACAGCAAGGTGGGTGCCCGGGTTCTCTAAACGCAGGACGGAGCCGTGGGGGAGGCAGACTCGCGGCTCTGCTGGAGAGGCAGGGGTCGCCGGCGGGTTCCCGGGCCGCCCTCCTCCTGGGCATCTCGGCTCCCCGCTGTCCATTTGGGGCAAGGGGGTGGGGCGCCAGGGGGCCCCCTGCACCTCAGACCGAGTGCTGGCGCAGGTCGCGCCGTGTCAGACTCACCCGCGTGGTGCCACGCCGGGAAGCAGGACGCTTTTGCAGGAGGCCGGGAAGGCTCGACTCCCTCGGCGACACCGTGTACACTAGGGATTGATTTCGCAGCAAAAACATTGCTGTCTTTTCTGTTAGCCCAGCTTGAGAGGACACCAACATCAAAGAAACATAAACCTCAATGTAACGTAAATAAAAGCACGCTTTCCAAGTTCAAGGTGACCGGCCGGAACAGACGGCCATGGTGCCTGCTGTCGCATGTGCCGGCTGCCCGCCCCTGGCACTGGACTCTGGCGGCTCTGACCGCCAGGACGTGGTGCCGGCACTGGAGGGTGGGCGGGAGCGTGGGGAAGCGTCCGGTCACCACGAGAACATTCTCTCCGTTGCTTGTTTCCCGGAGCGGTGGGGATGGGTTGGCTCTCGCCCGAGTCTGAGGGTGTGGTTCTCCACTTCTTTCCCCGGCGCACCCGTGTCGGGCAGGGCCAGCTGGGGAATTGGTGCACGAAGCCACTTCGCGGTGTCACCGCCTGCATCCGTGTTAAGCGGTTCAGTCACTGACACGTCTGAGACCGCTGCTCCGTGGGCGGGGCTCGGCGTTACAGCATTTCAGCTCCATCCAGGGGCTGACCGGCTTGCGTACCTGTGTCTCCGGGAAGGGCCGCACGACGCACCGACGTTGACTTTAAAGATGAGGGGCGCCGTGGCTGTCCGCGCCCCGGTGAGCCTTAGACTTGCGCCGTCCTCGCAGGTGTGCAGGCGCTGATCCTGGTGGGCCTGGAGCGCGCGGCCGACCTGGAGCGGCTGATGCAGCTGGAGTTCGGGCGAGGGTTCATGTACAACAGGCCGCTGAGGCTCAACCTGCTGGACCTGGACTACGAGCTCGCGGAGCAGCTGGTGCGTATCACGTGCCTCCGCACGCCACCCGCCCGCAGTGTTTGGCTTCCCAATGTGAGGCAGTCAGGCCCCGGCTGGCGCGGCTCAGTGGACTGAGCACGGGCCTGCGGACCAAAGGGTCGCTGGTTCGATTCCCAGTCAGGGCACATGGCTGGGTTGCAAGGCCAGGTCCCCAGTAGGGGGCGTGCGAGAGGCAACCACACATGGATGGTTCTTTCTCTCCCTCTCGTTCTCCCTCCCTTCCCCTCTATCTAAAAATTAATACGTAAAACCTTTAAAAAATGTAATGAAATCAGCGATCCCCCGCTGCGTGGGTGACTTAACCCATCGAATACCCGTGGGACCTGCCTGGTTGCCCTCGCAAGAGTGAGTCCGGGACACAGCGCTCCAGAGCGAGAGAGGAGTCAGCGAGCTGGGACAGGCGTCCCCGGGCGTGCTGGTGCTGACGCTGCGGCCTCAGCGTCCCCTCTGCTCCCCGCGACGGCGGTCTTTCCCCTCACAAGGTTGCCGAGCAGACGAGCCACCGAGACCCACCCTCCCAAACAGAAACCGTGTCCGTGGCCCCAGAGAGCCGGCACGAGGCGAATGAGCCTGTGCAGGGAGAGGAGGGACCGCTTCTGGGCGGAGAGGGCTGCTGAGGCCGCCTCTTCCCGTTTCCTCTGAGCGAGCGAAGGCGCCCCGGGGGCTCCCTCCCTCTCTCGGCAGGAAGGCTGGGAGTGGGGGCGGGGCTACTGGGGGACGCGGGCTCAGCGGTCCACTCCGAGGCCCTCCGGGCGTGGCCGCAGTGGACCCCAGGATGGACCGATTCTGCCCCGCCTCCCCTCTGCCGCCTCCCAGCCCTGGAACCAGGGTTTGGAAAACTGGCTGCAGGGATGTGCCGTTAGGCGGTGAAGCCGGGGTGCGGGAGGGAGGGGAGGCTCTGGGAAGCGGGCTCACTGCCAGAGAGCAGACCCCACGGCCGCGAGCTGAGCAGGCGGAGGGCGGTTGGGGTGCAGCTTCCCCGGGCCCGGGCGGGAAGGGCGTGTGAAGGCCGCGGAGGTGTTGGTGACCCGGCTGCTGGCGCCCTGGCCGGGAGGCAGGGACCTCGGGGTCTGCCCCACACCGGGCCTCCTCCGGGCCGGTGCCCTGACCCCAGGCCTTCGTTTTGAAACCGCCTTCTGTGCTGACCGCCGGCCATGTGTGCATTAGGTGTTGCTCTTCGGAGCTTAAAAGTACGTGAAGTACGCTTCCGGTTTGAGACTTGAGAATCTGTGTTGGAAAGTTCTAGAAATAAGGCCCAGCCTGAGGGGACATTGTGAACAAGGTGTATTTTACTTTGCTCTCGGTCCCCGTTAGTGGCTGCCCCCCCAGCCCCCGACGGTAGAGCCACGGAGCCGGTCTCTGAGCGAATGCCACGCGGAGGGACTTCCTCGGTCACCGCGGGACCCCCTCAGCGCGGGCCCCGCCCTTCAGGGCCCGCCCGTGTGGCCGGGGCAGGCCTGGGGAGACACGAACGCTCTGTTGCGATTTGGCAGGACAACGTGGCAGAGAAGGCATGCTGTGGGGTGCCCTGCAAGTGCTCCGGGCAGAGGGGAGACCGCGGACCCATCGGCAGCATCGGGCCGAAGGTACGGGGGCGTCGCCCTCCCCTTCCCCCCCAGGCTCGAGTCCTGCAGTCGGTCAGCGCCTCGGCTGGAGACGGAGAAGGGGAGGAGGGGCCCCCAGGGTGTGGGGCGGAGGATTGGAGGGTTGGACGCGGGTGGGTCCATGCATCTGCTCCCTTCCCCCAGTCCCTGGGGCGAGGGGGTCTCGCTGTCCCCGGACGCGCTGGCTCCACCCGTCACAGAGGAATGGGAAAGCCGGCGGGCAGCTCTGACCGCTCCCTGCGGACGGTCCTCGGGGCTGCTGGGCACCTGCCCCGGAGTGGCAGCAAACAGACAGGATTTCGTGACGGATCGGGAGCCTTAGAGGTCCCGACAGAAAGGACGATCGCGCCAAAGTAACGAGCAGGAAACCGGGAAGTTCGAGGGCACCGCTGGGGCCGCGCTAACCTTGAGCGCGGCTCTGGCTCACGCAGGGGGTCGGGGAGACGCTCCGGCGCGGCGCGGACCCCCCCGGACCCCCGTGGACTCACCCGGGAACCCGTGCGCTCTGTTCTAGGGTATCCCCGGAGAAGACGGCTACCGCGGCTATCCCGGGGACGAGGGCGGGCCCGTAAGTGAAGCTGCTTGCTCCTGAAATTGCCGTTCCCTCCTCCTTCCCTGCCAGGACCCAGTGGTGGGGCTCCCAGTCCGTTCCGTTTCTGGGGCCTCTCCCGCCGGGAAGCACTGATGGGTAGCTTCCCCGGCGACCTCGTGGGACTGCGCCGTGATGGAAAGCAGTGGGGCTCTCCCTGCCTCTGCGTCTCGGGGGGTGGGGGGACACCGTGTCTGAGGCCCGGGGCCGCCGCCTCCGGCTCTGCTCAGTCGGACCCCCAAGCAGGGACGGGAGTCAGCAGGAGCGGGTGCCGGGGCCCTAATCAGGCTGTGATCGGGTCACGGCCTCCAGGGAAAGTCTCCCAGGGAAGGTTTGGATGGTCAAGAGCCTTGGGGTCCAGTTGAGGGTGGGCGGAGCCTTCCGGAAGCGGTCCTAGGGACAGACGTGGCCGGAGAGGCTTTGAGACACTAGAAGGAGGCCCAGCCCTGGGACTCAGGGGCCCCCGGGGGTGGGGAGGAGGTGAGGTCGCGGGTCCCCAGCCTCATTGGAGAGCTGGGGACACAGGACCACGCAGAGGAGTGGTCAGGCCGAGTGTTCTCCGCGGGGGGGCCTGCCCACCTGGGCTCCCCCGGCAGCACCCCAGCCGCAGATCCTCCCCGCACCCTGCCTCCGGGTGGGACACTGTGCCCTGGGCCTGGGGGGCAGGGATGCGGGACCCGTCAACTCAGGCGGCCGCCCTGGCAGTCAAACCGGCTTCCTAAGGCGCGCCTCTCACGGGCCGAGGACCCCGTGGGGGCTGAGGGCCAGGAGCCCCGCCTCGCCAAACGGCTTTGTCTCCCTGACAGGGCGACCGGGGCCCTCCCGGCGTGAACGGCACCCAAGGCTTCCAGGGCTGCCCCGGCCAGAGAGGAATAAAGGTACCGTGCGGCAGGGCCACAGCACCGGGCAGCGGGCCGAGTGGCGGCTCCTCCCCGTGTGTCCTGGGGGAGGCCGGTGTGGCGGGGCGGGGGGACCCTCTGCTAGGAGGGCGGCTACAGCCAGGGGTCCAGGGGCGCAGGCCATGCTGGGGAGGGAGCCTGAGAGGCAGAAATAGTTTCCTGTGGGGACAGGGAGCCTCCGGGAGCCGGTCACCAGGACAGATGGGCGTGGGCCAGCGCAGGGGGAAGGCCAGTGCCCCGTGGCTTCAGCCCGGGACCCCGACAGGAGCCGGGGAGGTGGGGGGCACACGAGGAAGGCAGAAACCGCTGTGCCCGCCGGTCCTCTGCAGGAAACACGCGGATTTAAGGGCTGACGAACTGTCTCCTCCGCCGGCTGGAGTCTGAGAGCAGGTGCTGGAGGCAGGGCCACCGCCCTGCCTGCCACGGAGGGACCGTGGAGCCCTGACCCTGGCTTTCGGGCCCCCCCCTCCCAGAAAACCAAAACCACCCAAGGGCTCAGGTCCAGGGGGATTAGCTCTGTCACCTCCCCGTGATGGTGAGACAGCAATGCAAACAAATGCATCTCTAATGGTGAATTCTCAGCCGCCGCGGCTTTCGGCGGGGTGCGGGGCAGCCCCGTGCCGCAGCTGAGGGCCTGGCTGCCGGGACGGAGATGATGTTCCCCTCCCCTTCCTTTCTAGGGTTCTCGTGGCTTCCCAGGAGAGAAGGTACGGATTTTGGTTTTCTCTTTGCATTGGATCGTGTGTGGGATTTCTCACTGCCCCTTTGCCTGAAGGATGCCGACACTCACCCCTGCGTCCCGTCCCCTCACAGGGCGAATTAGGGGAAATCGGACTGGACGGTCTCGACGGCGAAGACGTGAGTAAACTCGAGCACTGAGTCCCGGCCGTCTGGGTCCCGAGGATTCCCGGGACCCGTACTCCGTCTTCGGCAGCACCTGCGCTGGGAATGACGTTTTGCCCTTGTCTTTGGCAGGGAGACAAGGGGTTGCCTGGTCTTTCCGGAGAGGCCGGGAGTCCCGGGAGAAGGGTAGGTGCACGCCCACGTTTGCCGTGACGGCAAACCTGCCCCCGGTTCCTCTCGGGGCTACTTCTTTCACTCCTGTGTGTTAACACTGCTTCCTCCAAGCAGCCTTCCCTGATCTCCTCTGGGGGTGCCTCCTAGGCATCCCCTATGTCCACGGGCCACTGCGATAGGTGACGTTGTAGGGTCTCGTTGGAGACTGTGTCCCATAGTGCAGGGACTGAGTTTGTTTTGCTGTGAATAAACTGCAGCGTCTGTACAGAGTAGCCTCCGGTAAATGTCTGTGAGCCACCTGCACAGAGCAGGAAGTAGTTTTATCTTCATGGCAAGTGAGTACAGGCTTAACGTTGGTGTATTTAAGATTTATGAGCTGAAGAACGCGATTTTAAGGGTGAGACAAAAAAAAAATTACAACTCTTTTGTTTTAAGATTTTATTTATTTATTTTTAGAGAGGGAAGGGAGGGAGAAAGAGAGACAGAAACATCAATGTGGGGTTGCTGGGGGTCATGGCCTGCAACCCAGGCATGTGCCCTGGCTGGGAATCGAACTTGCGACGCTTTGGTTCACAGCCCGTGCTCAATCCACTGAGCTACGCCGGCCAGGGCTAAACAACTCTTTTTAATGTCTAGTCTCCACTCACGTGTTTTCGTTCAGGGTGACAAAGGACCCCGAGGAGACAAAGGAGGAAGAGGAGACATGGGCATTCGAGGCGACCCGGTGAGGAGAGCTCCCCGAGGACAGTCTGAGACCCGCCTCTGTGGGAGGAGAGGGTTGGGGGGGAGAATTTTACTCTCGAGGCGGCTTTAAAGCGTGTTGATACAGTACATGGTTTATCTGTTTGCGTCAGTTTTGGGGTGGCCGGCCACGTGTTTGCCGCCTGGCTGTAGGGACGGGTGTTGGCGGGCCCTGCCCCAGGGGACCCGAGGAGCCTCTGTGACATGTGGTCTCTGGGCACGTTAACCCAGCCTCGCGGGTGGTCAGAGATCCGCGGGGATGTGGCCGAGAGGCTCTGCGGCCAGTCCCTCCAGACACACCCACGCAGATGACATCCACCCCTCCTCTGCACCCGACCGAGGGGTGTTCAGAAGTCCTTAGCCCCAGGCAGGACGGTGCCCGGGCCCCCTCTTGCCTCGTGCTGGCCTGGAGGACCGGAGGCTGGGCCGGGGACGGTCACCTTCTCACGGGCTTTGTGGGGGCGGAGGCGGGACCAGCTGCAGACACTTCCCTTTCCCCGAAACAAACGTCGTTGCTCTTCCCCGGGCCGCATGGCTCACCCCCTGACCTGTGTCGTTTCCAGGGTGACTCAGGACAGGACAGCCAGCAGAAAGGAGTCAAAGGGGAGACCGGGGACATTGGGCCCATGGTATGATGCCCCTCGTTGCTGAGCTCCCCGTGTGGGGAGGGCCACGGAGACAAAACTCGCACCGGCTCGCCCGCAGCCCCGGGGCCGAGGAGGTCGCCTCCAAGGCTGTGTACTGGAGAGGCAGTCGGACGGAGGTGGGGGGTCCCCTGAATCCGAGGGCGTGACCCCGTGCAGGAAGTCTCTGCTGGGGAACAGAAACTGCCCTTCCAAGGGGGGCTTGTCCTCTGCGGAACTGGGGCCCCTTAGACATTCTTGGACAGAGCTTGTGAAGCCGAGGCTGGTGTGAGTGGGATGGCACCCCAGTGGGACCCACCCACACGGGGTGCCTGGCCACCCTGGGTGTCCACCCCACGCCCTGTGGTGTCCCGGGCGATATTGACGGATGGGTTCGACGTGCTTCTCTGCAGCCGAGAATCTCACCCCGATTTTTTCTCCCGCACCAGGGTCTCCCTGGGAGAGACGGGGCGCCTGGCGGCCCTGGGGAGCCCGGGAAGGACGTGAGTACCCCTGGGGGCTGAGGGGGCTCCGCTCAAGGTTAGCGCCATGGAAATCCAGACACTGCGTGGGGCGGAGCTACTCAGCCATGTCCTGGCGGGGAGCTTAAGGGAACTTCTGAAACTGGTCCCTCTGGAGCACGGCGGGAGGGAGGCGTGGCCCAGGCGCCAGCACAGACCGCGTGCCCTCGGCCACCAGGGTCACGGACGTGCGCCTGGGCGCTCCCTGGACTGAGGGTGTGCTGCCTTTGGCAGCCGGACTGGGAGAGTCTGGGGCCCCTTTGGTTCCGGGGAGCGTGTCCCGTGGTTGCTCCTGCCGCTGCCGGGAGAGCGGGAAAAGCAGGCGCCGACGCCTGTCCACTCTCCTCCCTGGAACGCCGCCTGGAGGCCGGGGGTCGTCGTTTGGCTTGGCCGGGCGGCGCGGCCCTCCCGGCGTCCGTCCGGGTGACAGGCGGGGCGCGTGGGGGCGAACCGCCCCTCGAAGAGGCGGGCGGGAGGGTGTCACTCCGTGTGCATGTCCTCGGGGCTGACAGGGCCCGGCCCACGGCGGGTGACAGGTGACCGTGAGCGTGGGGTCACATGGGGTCCCCTCACCGTGAGTCTTCTTCTGCAGGGCGGCTTTGGCCGGAGGGGCCCAGTGGGAGCCAAGGTAAGCCTCCAGCCGGCGCCTGTCCTCTGCCCTCGTGGCGGGACTCACGGAGGGCTCTCGCGGACAGCCCTGTGCCCGCCGCCCGCACAAGGAGACCTGCTCTCCCCTTCGCCATGGGGGCTCGCAGCTCAGCCAGCAGCGACCCCCTTTCCCGCCCCTTCAACTCAGCCCCTGCTCCCGGGCTCGGGACAGTGATGAACTGGGGGGCGGGGCAGGGGGGTGAAGGGAAGAAGATGGGGGGGCAGTTCGGGGGCGTCCCTTGCCCGAGACATGCCTGCTTCTCTGGTCATCGGCCAGTCACCGTGTCTCGGTGCCTCGGGCTTCTCGCCCGTGAACCGCACGCCTGGGTCCCCACGTGTCCTGCTTCCCAAAGCCGCAGTGAGGGAGGGGGAGGTCGGGTGGGGGATGATGGTAACGGCGCACAGTGACAGCCACTGGCGTCCCGTGTGAGGCATGTCACCCTGGGGCTGCCGGGTCAGTGGCTTCCAACCCCCTCGTAGGGCTGGGGTCGTGGCCGGTCCCCTCACGTCCGGCGTGACTGCAGAGCAGGGAGCTGATGCTGGTGTGAACCCCCCTGACCCCTCCCTGCCTCTCTCCCACTTGTTTCCAGGGCAACAAAGGTGACCCCGGCCTGGCGGGCTCCCAGGGGGAGCAGGGGACCAGAGGGGCGCAGGTCAGTACCCGGAGTGCCTCGTGCCAGCTCCCAGAGGCTGTTGCGTGTTTTTAAAGGAAGGTGACCGCCCACTTCACAAAGCGGAGCATAGGACGCCTCATTTACAGGGGACGATGCATTTCATACATTCCCAGTGTCATATGGCTATCTGGTCCCCTCAGTCCAGTTTGAGAACGTTCTCGTGATCCTCAGGGGAGACCCTGTGCCCGCGATGTCCTCGGTCCCCACCCCCGGCGCCTGGGGACACACATTTCCTTCCCGCCTGTACGGATTTACCCCATTCCGGACATTGCATAGAAACAGGGTCACTCAGCAGGTGGCCTTCCGGGTCGGGCTCCTTGCCCCTCGCGTCACATTCTGAGGTGCACCATGCGGTAGAAGGAGGCAGGGCACCTCTCCTTTTCATGGCCGAGTAATATTCCACGGCACGGCGGGCCCCAGCTCCCAACCTGATCCTCGGCGGGTCGGCACTGGGGTGGCTCCTGCCTGTTGGAGGTTGTGACCTTTGTTCCTGGGGACATTGCAGACACACGCGTGTGTTTTCAAAGTGACTTCCCCTGCGTGGTCCGGGCCGGGCGGCCGTCCCCATGGCGGACAAGGAGTGTGGTCCTGGGGGGCGCCCTTCGGCAGCATGCGGGGGGTGGGGGGCCTGGGCTCCGGGAAGGCACAGACGTCACCCTGGGCGTCCTCCCGGAGCGCCGCCCCGACACCACGCTGACCCGAGCCTTTCCCCTCAGGGCTCGCCTGGCCCCACGGGCCCCCCGGGCCAGATCGGCGAGCAAGGCACCCCTGGACCCCGGGTGAGTTCCCCTCTCCTCCCCGCTCTGCGCGGCCACGGCGGCAGCACAGGGCCCGCGTGGGCTGAGACTCGTGGTGGGTGTCGCCGAGGGCCGACCTTTCCCCAGCCCGACTGTCTGGCGACACCAACCCTGGGTCAGTCTCTGTCCCCGCGGCCACTGTGTGAGGACATGAGACCCCTTCTTCTTGGGGCTCCAGCAGCCTCTGGGGGCCGGGCCGTCCCTTCCCAGCCCCCCCCAGCCGGGCTCGGCCCGGGCCGGCTGGACCTGCCTCGTCTCCGAGGTCCCCGCGTGGGGCTGAGCGAACCACAGACCCAGTGGAAGCCTCAGATGCTGACAGATCGTTGCACAGCCGACCCCGGGGGTCGGCTCCGAGGCTCCATAGTTTGTGGAAGGAGCTCCCCGTCCTCAAGGTCACACAGGAGATGGCCCTTGAACCTGCCGTGGCTGCAGACTTCCCCACCCCTGGGCTGTGAGTGACGGGGGCAGGGGTGTGTCCAAACCGCTGCCGGCCCTCGTGGGTGACGGCACAGTGTGCGGCCCATCCTGCCGCTTGGTCCGGGAAGTGACGAGGACCAGCCCCCGGCAGGGGACTGGCCGCCGCCGCCGCCTAACGGCACAAACGGGCTCCACAGTGGCGGCAGGAACCCAGGGAGAGCCGCAGTTCGCTCAGAGAGACCTCCCCCGGTTTGAGCCCTGGTAAAGGCTTGCTTGGACAGCCTTTGTCCCCTGCACCCCCCAGCATGTCCTTGTGCTCCGATTAACCAAGAATTTGAGGTGGAACGGGGGGAGGGGGCACGGCCGCCGCCTGGCCTCTACCATGTGTGGGGGCTCGTTTTTCCCGGGCCCCACAGGCCGCACTGCGTGCGGGGACCCAGGTCCCCTCGCTCACCCGGCGGAGCACAGCACACCGGCCCCCATGCCTGTGTCGTGGCCAGGTCTCGCTGTGGAGGCGTGGACAAGGTCCCCCTAAGATCTGGGTGTGGTCCTCTAGTCAGGGACTCAGGGCAGGGAGAGACGCTGGAGAGATGCATCGTGTGGCGTCCGAGTGCGCCGGGCAGAGCGTCCCGCCAGGACGTGGGGTCGCACAGGCCACGCACGTTTGCCTTGGGGCCGGCGGCGGTGCTCGTGACTCAGAGCCCCGACGCTCCACTCCGACCTCCGGGGCGTGGTGGGGGGAGGCGGGGGACAGACATGGGGGCTCAGGGGGTGGACACACCATCACTGACACTGCTCTCCTCTCCTCCCAGGGGAACGGAGGGCCCCCCGGTGCTCCTGGAGAGCGCGGCAGAAATGGTCCCCTGGGAAAAAAGGTTGGTGTTGACAAAGCTGGAGCCTGCTCCCCGAGGCCCGGCCCGGCCAGGCCAGCCCCCTGGTGGCCTCCCCACCCCCCACCCCCCGAGTCTGCCAGCCTGGCCACACCCCTTGGCCTCCCCTCTGGCCTTCCCCGCCCCAGCCTCCCCGTTGAGAGCCGAGAGCCGGCTTGGCCGGTGGGATCCCCGTCCCCGCCTGGAGGGCAAGCACGGCTCGCGCTCAGAGGCCTGGCTTTCTCGGAGCCAGGACCCGGCGACAGCTGTGGCTCCTCTGATCTGCTCACGCCGTGGCCCGTGACCACGGTTCCGAGTCCTCGCGCCTCTCCTAGCAGACCGGGGGCACCTAGTAGGACGTCAGCACTGCACTGAACGTGCTGTGTTTGGATGCTGGCCACCCACACAGCCGCTCTGCTGGCCGCGCTCAGCTCACGCCCTCGCCCTGACTGTTCCGGGTGCCGGCAGCTTTTGTTACACAAAGGCCCCCTGACGGGCTGCTGTCGATAGACCTTGATTACAACCACTGTTCACCCAACCAGCCTGAAAGGCCAGCGTTGTCTCCGTGAAGGAAATGTGCTCCTGGGAATCCGGAACTTTCCGTGGGGTTGGCCTTTCCTGCTGAATTCAGTGCCCGCCGACTCTCTCAGCTCCTTCCCCGCCCCCCTTCCCCCCCCCCCCAGAGTGTTCCCATGCCACGTTCGTGAAAAGAACACGCAGCAGCCCCCCCCCCGGCTCCTCTGCCAGGCCCCACGCAGGAACTTGCGGTTGCAGAAGTCACTTTTATCGCGATCCGGGCGGTGCAGTGGGCGGTGGCGGCGTCACCCAGAACCACAGGGCTCGGGGTCACATTCCCATCTGGTCTGGAGCCCGGGTGTCTCACCTCGTTTCTCGTGTGCAGGGCGAGCCCGGAGAGCCGGGGCCGAAGGGGGGACTCGGCAGCCCGGGGCCCCGCGGCGAGACGGTAAGGCCCACGCGCATCGCTGCCTCTCTGCTGGAACGTTCTGGGGGGCGGGGGGGCACCTGGGGGGGCTTGCGCTGGGCCGGCCTTTCTCCTCGCAGACGAGGCTTGGTCCCAGCAGAGACGACGTCTCACCGCTTGGCCTGTCACTGGGGACGGGGTCGAAAGTAGGGAAGCCTGATGCTGTGATCGGCAAATGAATGTCACGGTCACGTCACCGGGGGGTGGGGGGCAGGGAGTGGGTGAGGAGTCCTGTTTGTGTTTCCGGGGCGTGCGAGTGTGCTGGCCTTCTGGAGCTGGAGCCAGGCCACGTCCCGCTCCACGAGACCCGTGCGTGGTGGGCGCGACCGCTCGGAGCTTTTCCGCAAAGAGACGGGGTCGGGGTGACGAGCATTCAGTCCAGGTCGAAGCCGTGTCCTTGGAGGGGGACGCCCCATGAACAGGAAGGATTACCTCGATCTGGGTTTAAAAAAACCTCTGTTTAAAGTAATCCAACTGCTCGCTCGCGAGAACCTGGTAGCATGGGTTCCTGTGTAAGGGAGAAAAATCTAGGAAACGTTGGGAATTTTTCAACAATGAGTCAGGATACCTAAAAACTACAGAAATTGACCAGCTTGATCTGGCTTGTGACCCCGGAACTTTTAAATATTTTTCTTGTGTGTGTAACTTCTCCACAGTTAACGGAAGTTTAAAAACACCCGTTCCTGTCACTCCTAGTTTCAGACGCAGAGGGAAAGCACGCCTCATTCTGTTCCCATAACACCCGGGGCCCTGGCTCTCTGCTGCTGACACCCGCTTGATTAAGTCCGGGAACGAACTAAGTAGCAGGTTTCCCGCCTTAGAGACGTTAATGTATATTTCACGTAAATTCTTCCGCTTCTTTCGAAGTTGCCGTGTCCCACTCTGAAGGCCCCCACGAGGAAGGGACAGGGGCAGCTCGGAGTGTCCCGGGAGGGGTGTTTGGGAAGAGGGTGGTCTGGGGGCCTGGCCTGGGAGTCAGGGGCGGGACTCGGGGAGGGCCGTCTGAGCACGGACAGCTGGGGCGGCGAGAGCCCGAGCCTACGTCTTTGCTCTGGGGTGCAGTTGAAGACTCGCAGGTACACAGGCGAGGCGACCTTCTCGGGTCCTCCGAACTCCTGGATTCCCAGGTTCAGTGAGTCTCTGGCTCCACCTCCCAGCACCATCTGTGGCAACAGCGGGGGGCAGGTCTTCCGATGCGCAGTCGGCCGGCACCTTTTGGAGAAGGGGCTTTTCCAGGCCGCCCTCCGACAGACTGTGTTTGCACGTGGGGGTGGGGGAGGGACGGAACTCTCCCCGGAGCTGCACCTGGGTCTGGGGACATTTCGGGGGCCCCAGGGCCCTCTGCCCAGGGCTTCGGACAGAGGGGGGTGTGGCGTGCCCAGCACGGCGACCTGGGGTAACGCTGTTTTTCCACCATCAGGGGGAGGATGGCCGAGACGGGATTGGCAGTGAAGGGCGCAAAGGCAAAAAAGTACGTACTTCTGACAGGTGGTGTTTTTTTAAAGATTTTATTTATTTATTTTCAGAGAGGGAAGGGAGGGGGAGAGAGAGAGAAACATCAATGTGTGGTTGCTGGGGGCCATGGTCTGCAACCCAGGCATGTGCCCTGCCTGGGAATTGAACCTGTGACACTTTGGTTCGCAGCCCACGCTCAATCCACTGAGCTACGGCAGCCAGGGCAACAGGTGGTATTTTTACAGAATCATTCCTCCGTGTTTTATTGTAATACAGTGAACTTTTTCTCTTGATGACTATAGATAGATACGTTTTTTTTCTGCTCGAGAAGAATTTATCTTAGATGAATTTACATTGAGACCAAACGCTGGTGCTTTGTTTTGTCTTACAGGGAGAAAGAGGGTTTCCCGGATACCCAGGCCCAAAGGTAAGCAGTCCCCTGGCGGGAGAACCGCCCCCCCACCCCAACTGCGCGAGGACGTGTCTGCATGTCCGTGGGCCGCACACAGCGCACCCCGGGCTTCCTTCTGGGTCAGCCCCTTGCGAACCGAGTGGCCGTGGGCGTCCCCAGCCCCCACCCTGTGTGCGACGCCCCCCCCGTCTCTCCTGTGGACATGGCAGCGTGCACTCGTCACGGGGCTTGTGGGGACGCCACACAGTGGCCCTGAGACAGAGTCCCGTGTCGGCCGCACGGAGCTGTGGCTGCGGGAGCTCGTCCTCCCTGGTTCTGTGGGCTGCGGCTGCGTCTGCCAGGGGCCCGCGCGCAGTAGGGCCCTGTGGGAACTCGGATCGGAGGGAGCTGCCCGGCTGCCCTGAGACGTGCGGTCCCGGCGCCCCAGGGACCCTCGGCTGGCTGGGCGCCCCTTTCCAGAGCCTCACACGCTGCTTGCCGGCTCTCTTCCAGGGCGTCCCTGGCGAACCAGGAACCGCGGGACCACCAGGACCCAAAGGCATCAGGGGCCGGAGGGTGAGCGAGCCAGGGCCGGCGCCACGGGGGGAATGAGGACCGGCGGGAGGGTGGTCGACCCGGACGCCTCCTCTGCTCCCGTGGGCACTCTCCTTCCTCAGCCGCCGCCTGGCCCGAGACGGCTGGGGGGGGTGGGGGGTGGGGGGGGTGGGGGGGGGGGGGGGGGTGGGGAGGAAGGGACCCCTGAGCCGAAGGCCGGCGTCTTCAGCCCCCACTCCCCCGGTTTTGTCTGTGTTCTCCCCGTTATGGGGAGACCCCGTGAGCCCCTTCCTCTTCCTCTAACCCGTCTCCATCAAGGCTCACCCGCCCACGGTCCACTCGCAGTGGGGCGCCGGGGGGCTCAGGTCCCGGACGGGTCACCTCAGATTGGGCCTCGCCCACCGACGGCAAAGCGTCGGGGTTTCACGGGCCTCGAGGGTGCTTACGAGGGTCCGGGCTGGGGGGTCAGGCAGGCCGAGACCACCTGCTCCCGCCCCACCGGCCCCACCGGCCCCACCGGCCCCACCCGCCGGGACTCCTCCTCCTGCCGCAGGTCGGGGTCTGCGCACTCTCTTCAGGGGGACAATCACGCTTTGTTTTAAGATGGAGATGAGTCTTAGATTAGTGAATGGTGGTCTGGATGCGCGTGACGGTTTCTTTCTTTCTTTTTTTTTTTAAGATTTATTTATTTTTAGAGAGGGAAGGGAGGAAGAAAGAGAGACAGAGAGAAAAACATCAATGTGCGGTTGCTGGGGGTCATGGCCTGCAACCCAGGCATGTGCCCTGACTGGGAATTGAACCTGCGACACTTTGGTTCACAGCCCAAGCTCAGTCCACTGAGCTATGCCAGCCAGGGCTCACGTGACCGTTTCTAATGGTTATTTTGAGCCTAAACTATAGTTCAGCTCAGGGTGATTGTCCTGTTGTTTGGCTCGGTGAAGACAGTCAGATGAGACCAGTTCGGGGTGTGAAAACTTCGGGGGGGTGGTGTCTGTGCCAAACAGCGGTCTCACTAGTGGTCGGTTACTGACTTCCTGGGCACCCGTGGACGGCCTCGTCGGTGGGTCTCGGGCAAGCACCCGTCCCACCGTGACCTGCCGGAGAACGCAGGGTGGGCACACACGCATCCGTTCTGCGAAAGCCTCTTGTGCTTGCATTCGAACCCGGAGACGCCAGGACCCCCAAACGGGAGGGCTTTCCGGCGGGAATGGGGGATGCCATATCGGCTCCCGGGCGCCTCCCTCCCCAACTGCCGGGGGGGTTGCGATTCCCCTTGTTCCGCCACGGTCCGGTGATGCTGGTTCTGCCCCTCGCAGGGAAATTCGGGACCTCCGGGGGCGATCGGACAGAAGGGGGACCCCGGTTTCCCAGGACCATCTGTGAGTACCCACCCCTTCTGGTCGAGCCGCCCGCGGGCGCGATGCCGCACAGGCCCCACCCCCGCCGAAAACCCGCCACCGTCCCCTTCCCGGAAACACGGTGTGTGGCATTCCTGCCGTCGCCGTTGTCTGCCTGCGCGTTTAACCGCTTTCCCGCGGGTGCCGCCGCCGTGGAGGGGAGAGCTGCCCAGCGTGCGGCATTCCGCATCCGGGGCAGGTTGCGATTTGCTTCTGCAGTTCCCTGGTGCGGTTTCTTAGTTCGAGGCTCGGGCGGAGAACGGACAGAAGAGAGTCCTGTGTTCTCAAAGTCTCTCTCCTCTGCTCCCTGAGCAGGAAAGTCAAGTTTACAGGGAGGGTCTGCACGTGACCCAGGCCGGCCGAGGTCCGCCTCGGCTTCCCCCGTCCCATTTCCGTGGGCCGGGGCCTGTCCCTCACGCGCCTCAGCCTCTCCTTCCTTGTGTTGCAGGGTCCCCGAGGCGACAGAGGCGACTCCATCGATGTAAGTTGGGTGCGCGCGGCATGAACCGCTGTCCGTCCGTGGGCCGGAGTCAGCTGTCCTCACCCCTCCCTCCTTTCCTTCCACAGAAGTGTGCCCTCGTGCAGAGCATCAAGGACAAATGCCGTGAGTGCGCCACTTTCTCTGTCAGCGACCCCCCTTCGTGCTTCCCCGGGAGCCCCTCCCGCGGCGGGCGCGACTGACCCCCTCCTCTGTTCCCTTTCTAGCGTGCTGCTACGGTGAGTCGGCCCCCGCGGCGTGGCGCCCTCCCGCGGAGGACGGAGGGCCCCCTTCCCGTGAGTAAAGTCAGTCTCTGAACCCCGCCCCCCCAACCCCGCTCCCCAGGGCCCCTGGAGTGCCCCGTCTTCCCGACCGAGCTGGCCTTTGCCCTGGACACCTCGGAGGGCGTCACCCAGGACGCGTTCAGCCGGATGCGGGACGTGCTGCTGCGCACTGTGGGCGACCTGACCGTCGCCGAGAGCAACTGCCCGCGGGGGGCGCGCGTGGCCGTGGTCACCTACAACAACGAGGTGACCACGGAGATCCGGTTTGCCGACTCCCGGAAGAAGTCCGTCCTCCTGGACAGGATCAAGAACCTCCAGGTGGCCCTGACGTCCAAGCAGCAGAGCCTGGAGACCGCCATGGCCTTCGTGGCCAGGAACACGTTCAAGCGCGTGAGGAGCGGCTTCCTCATGAGGAGGGTGGCCGTCTTCTTCAGCAACCGGCCCACCAGGGCGTCCCCGCAGCTCAGGGAGGCGGTGCTGAAGCTGTGGGACGCGGGCATCACGCCGCTGTTCCTCACCAGCCAGGAGGACCGGCAGCTGGCCGGCGCCCTGCAGGTGTGTGCCCGGGGCCCTGGCGGCAGCCCCCCCTCCCCTCTGGGCTCCGAGGAGGCACTCGGGCACGCGCACACCGTCCACGGTGTCCCCGTGACCCGCGGTTCTGGCTCCGCCCCCGACCCAAGGTCCCCCGTCCTGGGCTGGAGGAGGGTTTCCCCGGGTGGACGGGAGGCCTGCTGCCTCCTAGCCAGGCCCCCAAACACCTGCGATTCGGGGTCCCCGGTGTGCACCCCAGGTCACACCTCTCCTGTGCCGGGCTGGCACCCCAGGGTCAACCTGGGGCACAGACAGGCGCTCCCTTGTTATCGCCCGAACCCCTCTCATTGCTGCACTCAGTCGACCCGTATTTGCTCAGGGAGGACGCTGGGCTCACTGCTCATGGGGGCGGCCGGGAGGGAGGGCGGGGCCAGCATGGAGGCGGAGGTGGGGCCTGGGCTCCCGGTCCCTCTCCCCGCCAACCAGCCATGCGTCTACCTCGCTGACCTCCCCGTGGCTCACAGTTCTCACCCGTGACAGACAGACAGGGCAGGGGTGGGCTCCAGGCTTCTCCTTCCAAACTGGATACTGTGTGCTTCTCCCGCTGCCTGTGTCCGCAAGCAGCACTGGGTCATTGTTGCTGTTCCTCAGGGTCTCCTCGGCCTGACTGCAGGCGGGCAGAGCACAGAGCCCTGGGCTTGGGGGTCCCTCGTGGGCCCCCAGCCGTGTGCTCGGCCAGGGGCACGCTGCATGGGTGGAGTGACCCAGACCCACCTGCGTGTCTTACCGGCGATAGTTTCAGCAAGTTTGGAACATTAATTATCCAGTAATTGAACTTAATTACTCACTAAGTAAATAATTTGCAGTGGTGCCCTGTGCTGGGATGCGGGGGCTTGAATCTTCTGGAGATGCTTTAATGGCTTGCTTTGTCATTGCGCCCCTCTGCAGACCTGGGAGGGAGAGAGGGGGAGGGCGCTAACATTCGGGGTGGACCTTCGTTGCTGAAAACGACGACGCTATTTGAGCCCCCGCTGTCTGATCGGGGCCGCAGAAGGCACTTCGCGTGCATGACCTAGCTCAGTCCTTCTCAGAACTCGGTGGGGAATCTGCCACCATCCCATTTCACAGCTGAGGCAGCGGAGCCCCCGAGGGGTGGAGGAGCTGCGCGTGGGGCCCAGCAGGAAGGGCAGGGCTGGGGTCCGAACCCCAGCTCGCCTCCGCGGAGGAGAGCCCCCCGTTTCCCTGCTCAGCTCAGGGCCGCCTCTCACCCTCGCCGTGGAACACGGGGCGGCTGCTGCCCCGTCCGTGGGGCGGTCGGCGTCCGCGGCGGCACTCCCTTGGGTCCTCGGCGGGACTGGGCGGGGGACTGCTGATCACGACCACCCCCCCCCAAGCGTTTCCTCTCGTTCGCACAGATCAACAACACCAAGGTGGGCCACGCGCTCGTCCTGCCCGCCAGGGGGGACCTCACGAACTTCCTCAAGACCGTCCTGACATGCCACATCTGCTTGGGTAAGGCCCGCCCGCCCCGGCGCCTCCGCCCGTGTGCGGGGCTTGCGTCACACGGTTCACGGCGCCTGCTGTTCGCTGTGTAGCGGCTACACGGCAGTTCCCGTATTTAAAGTGGAGCCCCCCAGACAGCATTGCTCTTGGGTCGGGAATGATTCGTTTGTAGGTAATAAAGGGGGAAGTAGACTCTGCTTACATTTTCACTTTGGAGCCCAGATTGCAATGGTCTGACTCTGGGACTTTCTAGAAAACAGTTCTTCAAAGGGTGGCAGAAAAGTAAGGTCCCCTCCCGTGGCGGCGCCCCCCCCCCCGCTTCCTCCCCTCTTCTTCCCCTCCCTCCTTTCTGACACCAGTGCCCGCCGCCCTGGCACTCCTGGGCTCACCGACTTGTCTGTGTGGCCAGCGTTCTGTGATGGAGCCCATGGCCACCGCGGTGTCGGCCGCCGTAGGCGGGGTTCCGAGTCCTCCGGCAGCGTGGGCGGCCCCGGGCTCCTGCGGACCGAGGCGTGTGTCTCGCCGCGGGAGCCGAGTGTGGACGGGCTGCCCTTCTCCCCCTAGACATCTGCAACATCGACCCGTCCTGCGACCTGGGCAGCTGGAAGCCAGTCTTCAGGGACAGGCGCGCGGCGGGCAGCGACGTGGACATCGACATGGCGTTCCTCCTAGACGGCTCCGAGTCCACCTCCCTGCTGCAGTTCAACGAGATGAAGAAGTACGTCGGGCACCTGGTCAGGCAGCTGGACCTGAGCCCCGACCCCAAGGCCTCCCGGCACTTTGCCAGGGCGGCCGTGGTGCAGCACGGGGTGCCGGAGGCCGTGGGCAATGCCAGCGCGGCGCCCGTGAAGGTGGAGGTCTCCCTGACTGACTACGGCTCCAAGGACCAGCTGCTGGACGCCCTGGGCGCCAGGATGGTGCTGCTGCAGGGGACCCAGGCCCTGGGCCGCGCCATCGACTACACCGTGGAGCACGTGTTCGAGCGAGCGCCCAACCCGCGGGACCTGAAGGTCCTGGTGCTGCTGCTGACGGGCGAGGTGCGGGGGCAGGAGCTGCAGGAGGTCCAGGCGGCCGTCCTGCAGGCCAAGTGCAAGGGCTACTTCTTCGTGGTCCTGGGCATCGGCAGGAAGGTCAACGTCAAGGAGCTGTACGGCTTCGCCAGCGAGCCCAACGACGTCTTCTTCAAGCTGGTGGACCAGCCCGCCGAGCTGGGCGAGGAGCCCCTGCTCCGCTTCGGCAGGCTGCTGCCCTCCTTCGTCAGCAGTGAGTCCGCGCCGGGCCCGGGGCTCCCCACCGGCCTCCCGCCAGCCCACGCCCTTGGGGTCTTGGGGGCGGGGAGGGGCGTGCGTGTGGGGAAGGTGACTGGTGTGCAGACGCTGACTTGTTCACTCATCGAACAGGGGGGTGTCGACACCCGCCAGGCCCCGGCCACGGTTTCAGCGCCAGGGGCGGCCGTGGAGGCAGGCAGGGGCCCTGTCCTGTTCCCTCGCTCCCTCAACCAAGTTCGACTGGGCTCCGCCCGGCACGTAGACGGGGACCCCGAGAATGGACAGTCTTGGCGGGCAGATGGGTCATGCACGAGGTAGTACGCTGGCAGGTCACAGAGCAGTGTATCCTGACGGGGCACTGGGGAAGCTTCCGGAAGGAGTTGCGTGGATCTGAGCTCAGCCGCCAACCCCCACGCACCTGGAGACCTCCGGGTCTTTGCTGGCGTGGCTCCCCGGCTCGCCCCACAATTCTGCTCTGGCAGCAAACCCACATGCGTCTTCCACACCCTCCTGCCGTCGCCCCTGCCCACCCCGGACGCTCCCCGTTCCGATGGCTCCCCGCTGGCTTGCCGTTAATCCGGATGCCACACTCACCGCACCTGTTACGGGGCCCGTGGCTCGTCCATCTGTGGGTCTGTGGGCCCGGTGGGCTGTGTGGTCCTGGAGGAACTGTGTCATTCGCCAACCTGTCCCCAGGCTGGAGTCGTCACGGGGAGGGCCCCTCACAAACGGGAGGGACGTAGGGAGCGCGGATAAGCCTGCACACCCGGGGAGGTTCTCACTCAAGGGCACGGTCAGGGCCGTGCCAACAGCATTCCCGCCGGGAAGCCTGGGCCCTGGAAGTTGCAGGGAAGGGAACGGGGAACAAAGGTCAGGCAGCGGGCTGACCCAGGGGCCGCCGTCCCGGCCGTCAGAAGACCTGGGTCAACAGAGCCTTGTTAATCGCAGCGCTGAGAACACATCGAAGGTAGTTCGACGGTAGCTGGTGTTCAAGGGCTCGGACCGTGTGAAACTGTGCACCTGAGTTCTCTCCTACGCCCGTCTTCCCGCCCACACTGAGTAAACCTTCTCTCTAACCGAAATATTGCCAAACAGAAGGTCTTGGCTCAAGATGCTTCACAGATCCGGTACTAAATGTTTAACACGGCTAGGCTGAGCTTGTGTGCGAGAGTGAATTACTTAACAAATATTTATGGACTACCTACTGTGCGGTTCATTTAATTCATTAGCAGATTAATTTTAATTTGCAAGGGATTCCCATACATTTAAAAAAATACATGTTTTCTTTTTTCTATTTCTTCCTAGGCGAAAACGCCTTTTACCTGTCCCCAGATGTCAAGAAACAGTGTGACTGGTTCCAAGGGGACCAGCCGGCGAAGAATCCCATGAAATTTGGTCACAGACGAGTGTAAGTGATTGCATCGACCGCCCCACGGATTCTAGGGCGGGCGGGGGCGCAGAGGAGCCCCAGGGCCTGACCCTGTGGGGCGCGGACCGGAGCTGCAGAGCACCTGACCTCCCCGGGGTCTCGGGAGAGGTTCTTGTGGAAGGGTCTGTCGGATCTGCTAAGTTCCCGCAGCGTCACAGACGGCCCCGAACGCAGTGCTTAGCACAGCTGCTCATTCAGTCCGCGGCTCTGCGGTTCTGCGGGTCGGCTCTGGTGCTCAGGCTCCGCCGGTCAGGTCTCCGGCCCCCGCTGGGCACGGCTCTGTGTTGGAGGCCAGTGTTGGAGGCCGGCTGCTCGTCCGCCGTGGGCTGGTGGTCCAGGTGGTCTCAGCGCGCAGCTCATCTCTGCCCCACGTGGTCCCTCACCCTCCAGTCGGCAAGCCTGGCTGCACCCCAGGCGACGGGGCAGGGCTCCCCGGGACGAGGCAGGGCTCCCCGGGACGAGGCAGGTGGTGGGTGCAAGGCCTCCTGGGGCCTAGACCAGGGCCAGCGCTCTGTGACCTCTGCCCTGTCCTGTCCGTCAAAGCGAGTCCCCAGGCCAGCCTAGATGGATTCCAGGGTGCGGAGCCGCACGGTGGGTGGCGAACCTGTCGCGTCTCATGCAGGGCGCAGGGACAGAGAGGGTGGGTGGCCGGGGCCCTGCGTCCAGGCGGTCTGCCATCTCGGGGGTGAAGTGATTTCACTTAGAAGGATTGGACGCGTTCAGCAAAAAATGGGCTCCACGTCTCCCTAAAATAAGTGGTGCTGTCACCGCACAGCTGGCGGTGGGAGAACACAAGGCCCCATGTCTGTCCTGCGAGGGGGGCCCGTGAGAGGGAGGGGCCGCGGCGCCCGCAGCGGTGCTGGCCGCCTGGCCCCTGCTCAGGGACCGTGGGCCCAGCGGCACCTGGGGGCAGACAGGAGGGCAGTGTGGCCAGGCCAGGGGGACGCGGTGGCAGGACCCGAGCGCAGGCCCTGTACTGTGTGCCACTCTTGGGGGAGGTGGGAGCCTGCCTGCGGCCCCCGGACAAAGCGTGGGTCTGAATTATCCTTGACCAGTGGGCGTTCGGCATGTTCCTGGCCAACCTCCAGGGTCAGGGCAGGAGCCCACCTCTTCTGCCTACACCCCTTCGTCTCCATCCCCCCAAAATCCTTCAGTGCCAGCCTCTGTCCCCAGGGGTGACGCTTCACATCTCAGCCTGGCCGGCTGAGGACCGTCACCAAGGCAGCGTGGCCCTTTTCCGGCGCTGGGACGCTGGCCCGGTGGATCTCAGTCCACCGCTTCCCTTCTCTCGCCTCGAGTTCTCTTTGGAATCCCTCTAGAACCTTCCCCAGAGTTGGCGCCACCTGATCTAGGAAAGCAGAGGGAGCACACCTCGTATTTGAACTTGTAGCACAGCGGCTTGAACGTATACTGTGTGTGACATGTGGCGTGATGCAGCCGCACAGCGGTGCACGTGCGTGTGGGGGCAGGAGCTGAGCGAGGGGGCGTCCGTGCCGCTGTCTAGAGACTATAGGAAATAACCCCTAGAACAAAACCTAACGCAGACCAAAACACACGGGGAGCCCCGGGGGTGAGAGGGCGGGCTGATGTCACCCCTCCACAGCCCGACACGGCGCGTCGCCGCCCGGGCACTGGCTTATGGCGAGAGTGGTCCTTCACTGAGCATTACGGTCACAGTGAGAACAGTCCTCACCATCTCAACACTCACTGTCTCTGCCTGCTCTCTGCTTTAAATTGAAGAGAGACGTCCGATGCACTTACCTAGAGAGTGACGTCAGCCTCATTTCCAGTGCCCCGGTCACTGTGCGTGCGGTCCGCGGCGCGGGCCCGTACAGTGCGCGCCGTGCTGTGTGCGGCGCAGAGAGGCCGCCGCGGGCGTTTTGCCGAGACAGCAGGTTCCGCAAGTGCGGCAGGCCCCGTGTTTGTCCGTTGGAGACGGCCGGCACAGATGCAGAGGGGTTGAAGCCGTGCTCCCTTTGTTTTCACAGAAACACTCCGAATAATGTTACTTCAAGTCCTGCGTCCAAACCAGTGTTCACCACCAAGCCAGAGGCCACCCTGGAACTGGCGACCGGCACCACCAAACCCGTGGCTGTGGTGCACCTGCCGGCCTCTAAGCCGGCCGCCTCCAGACCCGAGGCTGGGAGGCTGGCTGACGCCAAGCCCGAGGCCACAAAGGTGGCCACGGTCAGATCCACTGTGGCTGCGAAGCAGGTGGCAGCAGTGAAGCCAGTGGCTGCAAGACCCCCCACCATTGCCAAACCAGTCGCCACCAAGCCCGAGGCCCCCAAGACCCCACCAGCCAAACCAGTGGCCACCAAGCCCGAGGCCCCCCAGACCCCGCCAGCCAAACCAGTGGCCACCAAGCCTGAGGCCCCCAAGTCCCCGGCAGCTGGACCAGTGGCCACCAAGCCCGAGGCCCCCAAGTCCCCGGCAGCCGGACCAGTGGCCACCAAGCCCGAGGCCCCCAAGTCCCAGGCAGCCGGACCAGTGGCCACCAAGCCCGAGGCCCCCAAGTCCCAGGCAGCCGCACCAGCCGCCACCAAGCCCGTGGGTAAGACAGCGGCGGTCGGGGCTGCCGCCGTGTGACGTCCTTGTTCGCTGTGGCCGGGTACGTCCCTCTGAGCCTGTCTGCGAAGCAGCAGCGGTGGGCGCTGACCCAGGGCTACACCCCTGGGTGGCTTGGACATCTGAAAGGCGCCGTTCAGAGCGGGGACTTGTCAAGTGTAGCATTTTTTTCTGTGTGAGGAAGGAAGCAGTCTTCCTCTTCCCCGCGTGAGGCCGATGGGCCCCTGGCGAAGGGCAGGGGAAAGGGCTCCCTCCTGCCCTGCTCCCCGCCGAACCCCACACCCTGCTGTTCGCGTGGGGGTGCCCGTCCACAGCGGGCACGACCCTTCCCTCCTGGAGCCCGAGCGTCTGGGGGCAAAGTAGGGGTCTGAGTAGGAGCAGGGCTTCAGCCCCCGGAGGCAGGGAGAGGGAGAGAGAAGGCTCCTTGTCATCGCCTCCCAGGCCGAGGGCCGTGCCCCCGGTTGTGGAGCCCGGCCTGCCTCCCTCGGATCAGGACAGCAGACGGTCTGGTCCGCCTGGCGCTGTGTCACCGCAGCCTTCGTCCTGCTGGACGCGCAGGGAAGAGAGGCCCCCCGCTGCCCGCTCCGGCGGTGCCCGGCGTCCAGTCCCCACGCACTGGTCTGCGCGCTAGCCCCGGCCGTGGGGAAGGCGGGCTCCAGACGGAGTGGGGGCCCAGGGCTGGGTGGGCTCAGGCAGACCCGGGTGCCTTGATGTCGATCTCCCTCAAAGCAGGCGCTGGCACACCCTGCAGGGTGTCACCAACTGTCCTGGGCGGTGAAGGCGGAGATTCCCTTAGAAGGGTTTCACGCGATGCCCTGAAGTTTCATGACTTAATCTGTTTTAAGTCACAGGGGGCCAACACAAGGCCTGTGGGCGGAATCCAGCCCTCCGCCTTGTTTTATCCGGCCCTGCACCTTGTTTCTATCCGGAGGCAGCACTGAGCTCCTTGCCCCTCGTTAAGGAGCAGTGACGTGTGTGCAGTCCTAAAGTCACATCTGGCCCCCTGAAGGCCGCCGAGAGGCTGATGTGGCCCCCGGTGACCATGAGTCTGGCACCCCTGTTCTGAGTCACGGGGCTCATTCTGTATGGGATGCCCCCTTGCAGACTAGCTCAGCGGCCTGTGCATTTCCCAAGTGTCTCCTCAATAAGGGGGGTTTCCAACAGGGGGCGGAGGGAGCTGTGAGCCTCGGGGGTGAGTGACGGGGGTTCTGATTGCTGGGACTCATTTCACACTCCAGCCACGTCGGTGGGCTAGAAGACCAGCATTTCCCGGGAACTCGAACAAGAAGTCGGTTCCCTGTCTCCCCCCGATTTTCTGTCACCGGTCACACACACCTCTTGGCGTTCCCCTCTCTCCTGCGTGTCTCGGTCGCGTGGGGTTCGGGCTGTAACCCGCACTGTGCTCTGATCTCTGTTGCAGCCAAGGCCCTCCGCGAGCTGCGGGTGTCTGAGGTCACCGAGAGCAGCGCCAGGCTCCATTGGGAGAGGCCGGAGCCGCCCAGCTCTTACTTCTACGACCTCACCATCACCTCGGCCCACGACCAGTCCCTGGTGCTGAAGCAGAACCTCACGGCCACGGACCGCGTGGTCGGGGGCCTGCGCGCCGGACAGACGTACCACGTGACGGTGGTCTGCTACCTGAGGTCTCAGGTCCGGGCTGTCTACCGAGGAGCTTTCAGTACCAGTGAGTACACGGCCCGTGTGAGACAAGTCGGCCCTGACTTCTCCGTGGGATATCCGCAGGACATAGAGAGAACAATTCTTTTTATTATTATTATAGTTATTATTTATGATTCTCACCCAAGGACATGCTTATTGATTTTAGAGAGAGTGGAAGGGAGGGAAAGAGAGAGAGAGAGAGGGCAACACTGAGATGAGAGAGAAAAACAACCGAACCCACAACCCAGGCACATGCCCCACCCGGGAATCGAACCCGTGACCTTTTGGTTTACGGGTCGATGCTCCAACCCATAGAGCGGTTTGGCCAGGGCCAGAGAGAACGGCTCTCACGCGCCGAGACTGCGCTGAAATGAGGAGGTCAAAACAAAACCCTAGGTGTTTCTGTTGCACCCGACTTTACAAACGGACGAAACGGAAGACGGGTCCTTGTGAACCACCGCCCTGCTTTGGGGGTCCCGGGCCACTTCGTGGAGGAAACCAGCTCCGTCTGGCCTGGGTGCTGCCCCCGCCCCGGAGCCCCTCCCCCGCCCACGGGTCAGGAGTGTGCCCCTCCCCCCCCTTCAGAGAACCGAAAGCACCGCCGAGACTCACTGGCTCCTTCGGGAGTACCTGAGGTGCCCACGAGGTCTCGCCGCCCCGGGGCCACGGGAGCCCCGTGGCAGCACAGAAAGCACCCCAGAATTCCCCTCTCCAGCTCCCGGCGCTCAGGCTCTGCCCTCTGCCCTCGGGCGTCCTCCCGGCTCCTCCGCGGCGCCAAGGCCTGGCCCTGCACGCCCCTCCCCCCCAGCCCCGCTCAGGGGCTCACGTGCCCCACCTCCTTTCCAAGTGCTTCTGAGCACCCCCATTCTTTTCAACCCCCCTCCCCAGGATGTGGCGGGGGAGGGTCACGTTCTTGGCTCTCTGGGCCGGTGCTGTTCAGATCCCGGAACCCAGCTGAGTAGAGGAAATCCCCGCCCCTCCCCACACTGTCTGTGCGGGTGAGAGCCCTCGGCCCCAGGGGCCTGGCTCCGTGGCCAGACACAGGCGAGCCTCCGCGGGGAAGACGAGAGGGTCCGTTCAGAGCCCGGTGGTTAGCTCCGCTTGCCCACTGAGACAGCTGACCCCCCAGACAGCAGGCGTGGGGCCTGCACGGAGAGGCCTCTCGCTCGGGTCTCTGCTTCCTTGTCCCCGCCGCCCCGCCCCCCCAGACCCCAGACCTGACCCGGAGAGGCGAGCTCACCTCGTCCCGCAGGTTCCCAGCCCTTCCGGCGCTGAATCACCTACCGTCTGCCCGTGTTTTCCTCTTGCAGGGAAAACGCAGCCTGCGCCGCCGCAGCCCGCCCGGTCGGCCGCCAGCGCCACCGTGAACCTCATGGTGAGCACGGAACCGCTGGCCGGCAGTGAAGGAGGTGAGTCGTGAGAACGCCAGGGCGGGGGCGGTGCTCGCTGCCCCCCAACCCCCCACACGTCTGAGCCTTCGCAGTCCCGTCCGTGGGCCGTGGGCCGTGGGCCGTGGGCTGAGGCCCGAGGCCCTGACCCTCTGGCCGGGCGGGCCTCTGCGGGGTCGTTCCAGCCGCTCTGTGCACGGTCCGGCCGGGCAAGGTCTCCCCTGCGTCCTCGGGGCTCCACCTGCCGGCCTCCCTTCCTGGGCGCCGCAGCCAGGGACCTGCTCTCGCCGCCCCTTTTCCTCACCCTGGGGCCAGTGTGTGTGTGGGGGTGTGTGGCCTGCGGCGCTGCGGAGCCTGGGGCGCCACCCACGCAGAGATCCAGTGCAACACAAACCCCTGCGGAGGACACGCGACGACCCAGACGGGGACCCAGGGCAGGCACGAGGGTCTGGGAGCAGCCCACGGCAGGCGTGTCCTGGCCCCGGTTCTCCGGGCGCACCCGTGGCTTGGTCTGCCACACCACCCTGTGGGCTGGAGCCCCGCGTGTGTGCGGCTCCTCTCTGACCAGGGACCCGTGGGAGTGCTCCTGCAGGGACCGCCGTAACCCCCCCCCCCGTCCAGCGGGGTGTGAGCTGGGGCCGCTCACCCGCTGGGAGCTAGTGTTTGCAATGGTCGTCGATGTGCTTTGCTGAAGCGTGTCCTGCAAAAGACGTGCGCGCTAATATCCAAAATCCAAATTCCGTGGGCGTTGAGAGGTATCATTGTTCTATAGACCCCCCAGCGAAAGGTGTCCCCTGAGTGCGGGGACAGTCCATTGGCTCCGGGGGTGTTGGCCACTGGCAGGAGGGGGGTGTGGCTTCCTCAGTGATTCTTTCTGCGAGCGGTTGGGAGGAAGGGTGCCCGCTGCTGCCTGCGCGGCTCCCGTGGGTGCCGAGTGCAACGCAGTGGCGGCCACCCCTTGTTTTCTGAGTTGCCCGTGAGGCTTCCACAGTTTGCTCTCTGCACCGTGAGTCTCTGAGATGTTTGTTACTTTGCTTCTCCGTTGCACCGATGCTGTCGAGCCGGCGCCCTGTCTGTCTGGGCTTAGAGAATCTCGGGCGGTTTCCGGCCCCGCACCTGGGAGGGGAGGCCCCTCCGTTCCGTTAGCTGTTTCCCCCGGGCTCTCCTGCATCACTAGAACGTCCCATCCGCGGGCTTCCCCTCTGTCCACGCGCGCGTCGTGCGTCCGTCTGTCTGCATCTGCGAGCCACGTCCAGACCCATGTCTACGTCTGCGTCTGCCCGGCGTCCCTCACGACAGCCGCCGCCCGTGTGGCGGCGTCTCCCGCGTGTGGTCCGCAGGGACGCGGACGTGTAAACAGCGTTTAGCTAGCATAAACAGCACAGTCTTGAACCAAGAATCTGGCTGGGCTGGGCTTTTTTTTTTTTCTTTTAAGGACGAGTCACAGATTCAGAAGGGGGGGAGGTGTCTTCAATCCAGACCTTTGTCGCTTCGGCCTGCTCTCTGCACGTGACAGAGAGCAGAGAGTTTTGAGGTTGGGGCTCGCGGGCCTGTCAAAGCTCCGGGGGTTGGTTCGGGTGCATCGAAATCTCGTCCTTCCTTCCGGTGAGCGCGTGGCCCTCAGACCCAGGACTGCGGTGTCGTCACTACCTCACGGGGGGGTGCGTTGCCCGCCTGGTGACTCCGGCCAGCGTGCAGACCAGGGCCCCTGTCTGGCCGGAGCCAGGGCCCCGGCGCCTACACCCACGCGGCCACGGAACAGCGCTCTGCCTGCAGAAGAGCTCACCATGCGTGTGCTCACGAGCACCCGCCGGAGCAGGGGCCCCCTCCTGCCATTTGTGGGAGCTCTTCCGGTTGAAATCAGTGAGGCGTTCACTTTACAATATTTACAATTGAACACGGGTGAACAGAGTTAGGAGATGAAGGCTTGTCTTGCCCCTCCCTCCCAGCTTCCTCCCCTCCTTCAGGGCTGGAAGTGTCTTAGATGTTTCCCCCAGGGGGTGCGCCTCTGGGAGGGTGCCTGTATTTCTGAAGCCGAAGAGGGAACACCTTATCCACGGACCGAGTGACCTCTGAAGCCCGCAGTGACGGCATCCTTGGAGCCCGAGAGTGCTGACACTGTACACGCAGGGACGTTTTCTCACTCACACCAACTGTCCCTGCTTCCGGGGCTGGAGCTCCGGCCCCCGCCGACCCGCTGCGTGGCCCGGAGGCCGCCAGCCGGCCCCTGTGCGAGCCCACGGGCCGAGCCTCTCGGCAGGGCCTCCGCACGTCTCCGCGGTCTGGGCGCAAACCCTCTCCGCCGCCCCGCCCCGTGTGGCTGGAGGGGGCAGCGGCAGCCCGACCACTTGCTGCCCTGGACGGTGTCCACGCGGGAGGAGCCTCTGACAACGCTGCTCGCAGACACCGTGAGAAATCCCCAACTCCAAAAACGGCCTGATTTTCCAGTCCAATGCGCTTCTTGTTTCCGAGAGGGATGTCTGTTTCCGGCCACAGACTGAAAGCTCTTGGTCGTGCGGAGCTCGGGACGCCGGGAGAGTGTGAGGGGCGGCGGCTCCCGTGGCCACGGCGCGGGCGGCCCCTGGGGAGCAGTGTTCACCACCCTTTGGGTTTGCTCCATGAACAGGAAACGTGGGTGCATGCATGCACACAGGTTCCTGGGGGCCCCCCACCCCGAGGTGGCCGTTCTGGGGCGTCCCAGGTTGCTCCTCGGCTCCGGAGACCCTGCAGGGCTCCCGGACAGGGTTCCCTGGGCCGTTCCTGTCGCCCCCACGACCTCGAGAGCGTGGATGCTCACTGCGGCCCAGCGACCCGCCCCTCCCCGCTCCGCCTGAGGGCGGATCCGACTCAGGCCGCCCCGCAGGGGTTTCCTCTGAAGGGAAACTCACTTTGCCGGTCAAGGTCGTCGACAGCCCCCCTCCCCCGCATGGTCTTTGCGGCTCCCGCTGGGTTCTCAGTGCACGGCGGAGGGGGCGGGTGGACGCGCAGCCGGACGTGCTGCACGGGTCAGAGCGAGGGCCGCGGGCTCCTCCAGGGCCCTGCCCGTGGGGCGACTCCCGTGGGAGGGAGGCAGGGCCGCCGTCGTGTCCACGGACCGCGCCAGGGAGGGGCTCCGTGAGGGCTGGCCGGCGTCCCTCTCTGGACAGCCGGGCGCTGTCCTGTGTGTCCCGTCCCTACAACGGCTGTGCCGGCCTTGGTAGACCCGGCTGGGGCGGGGCCGGCCCACGGGCAGCGTGTCAGGGGTCACGCTGACGAGGCTTCTCAAGAACATGGAACCCCCCGTTCCCCTGCTTTAAACATGGAGCGCCCCCGGTGGCTGTCTCGGGAGAGGGCGGGGCCCTCACGGACAGCTCGCTCTTATTTCCCGAACGTCCGTGTGTCCACAGCAGTGACGCCCTTACGTCCCACGGGTAAACCAGACGGGCGCTCGCGGACACTCTCGCGGACACAAAGGGTGTCACCCGCAGGAACGCCAGCTCGGCGCTGGGCGTTGCGGGGCAGGCTTCCTCCAGGCTGGTGTCCTGGGGCCCCCTTGGGCCCGGGGAGAGTTCCTGTCGCCGCAGGAGGCACCGGGAGCAGAGGCAATAGCCAAACACAGACAGCCGGGACCGAGAGCGCCCGACAAAGGAATCGGACAGACACGGCCGTTGGGGGGGAGAAAGGAGGGGAGGGGCTGAGGCAGCCCTTCGGCCGGGGCCTGGCACTCACAGGGAGCCGCGGCACCCGAACAAGGGGTGCGGGCGGGTGGCTGAGTCCTCTTGCCTCGCTCTGTCCCCCTGCGACGTTCCAGGCTTTTCCCTGCAGTTGCCGGCACGTTTGAGAGGAAGACGTTGTTTTCGTGAATTGTCGTCATTTTTTCCTGCCTGTGTTGGGGCTGCTGCCTTCGCGCTGGGGCGGCGGCGGCCCCACCCTGGCCAGCGAGGGTTTCGAGACCAGTCTGGGCCCCCGCCCTGTGCACCGCGGGGTCTGGCGCGCCAGGCGGCCCCGCGCTCTGGCTGTGCACCCTCGGGCCCAGGCTCTGGTCTCCCTGCTGGCCTCCCTCAGAAGTGCACCCGCTGACCCCCACCGCTGCTGGGGCACCCCACGAGCTGAGGGTGGCGGCCCCGGGGTGTCAGCCCTGCGTGGTGGGGGCGGCGACGCAGGCACGTGAGCCCAGCACGGGAACACGCTCAGCACCACCCGTGCCAGGGGCTTGTCGGGAGGGAGGTTTGCGCCTTCCAGACGGCGCGATGGCGGCGGGCGTGAACGCTGCTCCCTCCCCGCGCCGTCTGCCGTTCGCCAGGAGCTCCGCGAACAGGGGTTTTCCTGGGGTGAGCGGCCAGCCCTCCCCCACCCCCCGGGCGCCGGGCACACACCCCTCTGCGTGTGCAGCTGGAGCGCGTGTTTGCCACCGAAGCTTCCTTGACAGGGGCAAGCGTGCGTCTCCGTCTCAGGGCCGCGGCGCCCCACACCGTTCCCACGGCTGTGGGCTCCACACCGTGTCGCTGGTGGTGACTGGGGGTCACGGAGGCACTGGCTCCACGCCTGTGCACACACGAGTGTGTGTGCCCACACGGAGACACGTGCACACCCCCACACACACGCATGCCCACACACAGAGACACACGCACCCCCCCCCCACGGGCTCACATGCACACCGCACACTCACAAAGGGTTTTTTCCCACTTGAACTTTCGTTGTCAATGCAGTCGGCTCCCGGTGAGACGTGCGGCCTTACCTCTGAGCTCGGCTCTGACAGCACGGGCGGCTGTCTGGCCGCAGAGCAGAACAGTCCACGGCTCTGAAACTCGGTGTCTCCTCCGGGGACCGGGCAGTGAGGGGACCGGAGCGCGGGTGGCCCGGGGCCTGGGAAGGGAGACGCCGTCGACTTCACGTTCAGTTTCCTGTGAGGAACCAGCGCCGACGCTGGGGTTGGGGGGCACAGCACCCCGCCTCTCGCCGTCCGGTGGTGCTGGTGCTCCCGGGGCCCCGGGCGGCCATGACGCCCGTTTGCGGCGTGGGTGGGGGGTGCAGGGTCCTCACTCTTCTCTTTCGCCCCTGCCAGCCTGCAACCGGCCCCCCAGCCACTCGGGCCGGCGCCGGGGACCGGGGGACCAGGGGGCTCTGCGGCGGGCTCTAACGGGCGGGTGTCCGTGTCGCCCCAGCAGACATCTGCAAGCTGCCCAGGGAGGAGGGCACCTGCCGGAAGTTCGTGCTCAAGTGGTACTACGACGCGGAGACCGGCAGCTGCGCCCGCTTCTGGTACGGCGGCTGCGGCGGCAACGAGAACAGGTTCCACTCCCAGGCGGACTGCGAGCGCGTCTGCGCGCCCGGTAAGCGACGCTCCTTCGCGGTGTGTGTGGCCTCGGTCGGCCCGGTGGGGTGAGTGACCCAGGTCCGTAACTCACCCTTTTAAGATACTTGGAGTAAAAGTATCTTTAGGTCACAGTAGATGTGAGCCAGAAAAGAAATACACTGCGTCTTCGGGTGAGGAAGACATCCAGATAAAGCCCCTGAGAGGAATTGCCTGCGTGAGAGTTGTTCCTTAGGAACATACTCATATCCTTGAACTGTTGCCGGTGAAGAAACACGGGGCGGAGGGGTCCTCACTGCTGAGGGACATAGATCCCTGCTATTCGCACGACTCTGTTAACCAGCGGGGTCCTCGGGGAAATGACGGGCGATCGTGGGTGACCCCAAAGATAACTGACCCTGCCGATCACCTGTAAACACCCTTGCTCCCTCTCAGCGGTCCGTGCTGCTACTGGGTCCACGCAGCATCTCTGCATGTTGGGCAGCTCTGTATGTTGGCCCTAAAATGCGCCAGCTCCCCCACAGGCTGGGCCCTCGCGGGGCCGGAGAGCTCTGTCTGCACCAGGGTCCGCTGGGGTGCAGGGGGACAGGCTCAGACTGCAGGGGAGCGCCCCTCCCCCTCTGCCCCCCGAGGCCCAGAAGCGTGGGGGAACCGGCGAAGGTTCTGGGCTGGACAGGGAGAGGCGGCCGGGGGTGGGGGGGAACGGGAGGCCACGGGGTCATTGCCCGAGAAGCACGGCGCCCGTCCCGGTCAGTGACCTGCCTTCTCTTTCTCTGCCCTCTCTCTGCCCCTCCTCCGGCACTCAGTGCACGTGAAACCGGGCGTCGTCGCTGCCCTGGGGACCTAGGGCCGCCGGCCGGGGACGCACACCTCTCGAAGCAGGAGCCAGCCGTCTCCGGGCCGTCCTTGCAGAACCTCCGGGTGCAGCTCCCTGGCGCCGCACCGCCTCCTGCTTTGATCTACACTCAGACTGGGGAGGGGCCGCCTGCCGCACGACCCGTCCACATGGTGCTAGCGGGGTGCCTGGCCCCCGCACCCGCGGTCTCCGGCAGTCAGGTCCTGGGCTGCGGACGCCGTGCGGCAGCCACGCACCGCCGGCGCTGCCGCCGACCTGCCGTCACCTCGCACTCCCCCCGGGCTCCACGCCGCGCCTGTTCCGGGCAAACGTGGGGTCTGGGAGGGAACCCCCGCCCCTCACCCCCCACCACGGCTACGCTTCTACTCTCGCTTCCTTCCTCCTCCCCTCTCAGTTTAAGCTCGGCTTCGGATGGAGACCCCGCGACGGCGACCACACGCGGGCCCCGGCTTCCCCGCGTTGCCCCCGGTGTCCCGGGCTAGATGGCCAGAGAAGGCTCTTTGCCCACAGCCTCTGGCCCAGGATCTCGCCATCTCTGCACGCCGCCCCGGGACCAGTGCTTAGATCAAAGTGAACAGAAAGTCATGAGAGAGAGTATTTTTGGCATTCCTTTAATGTGTGGGGTTTTTTTTGTGGGGGGGTGGGGGGAACTAATTTTAATTTTAAAATTTTTAGGAAATTTATACAAAGAAACTTTTTAATAAAGTATATGGAAAGTGTCTTGGGTTTGGTGTTTCTGGCGTCTTGTGGTCCAGAGGACCCCCGGGCTGGGGAGGGGGGGCTGGTCCTGGGCACCAGCCTCCTGCCTCCAGCGGAGGGGCTCCGGGGCTCCAGGGGAAGATGCCCGCCATGCCATGGCCACGGCCACCCGGAGGGCCGCGGTCCCGGCTGAGGACCCCGGGGGTCTTTCTGGTCTTAAGGACGGGGCTGCCTTTCACCCCGCTCGCTCTCTAACCTTTGGTCCTGCCCCAGCGCCCTGGCCTCCCTCTCTGCATCCGTAAAGGGTGGTTTCCCGGGGTGCAGCGTGCTCCCCGCAGCGTGGCTGAGGGGAGACCTGCAGGTGGCCCGGGGAGACCCCATACCTTTTCCGGAGTCTCAGAGACAAAGGGAAGCGTCTTCCCGCTTCCCCCGTGGAGACCTCGCCTCCTGCCTTCAGGAACAACCCAAACCACACGAGCTCGTCTTCAGGGGGTCCCCGAACCCCGCTTCGGCGGGGCCCTGGGTCTGTCGCATGGGACACCCCTGCTCCGACGGGCCCCGGGGACCTCGGGCGCAGGCAGGACTGTCCCGTGCGTGATGGGGGAGGACTCAGTCCGGGAATCTAGTGAGGGGGGAGCGGGAGGGAGGCAGGAGGGCCCAGAGCCAGGAGAGGAGGGGAGGGGGCAGTTCCGCCCCGCCCGGGAGGGCTGTGTCTCGGGTGTCACCCTGCACCCGTGGTGGGGGCACCTGCCCAGGTGTGCCGGAAAACAGGGCTTTCTGCCCCAGGCGACAGGGGAGAGAGCCCGAGCACGCCGACCCATGCAGGGAGGGGGGAGTCGCAGCAGCCGTGGGGAGGGGTCAGGACCCCCCGGGACCCCACCGCCCAGGACTACGGCGCCTCGTGAGGACCGAGAGACCCCGGTTGCACCCCAGGGCGGCTTCAGGGGAACCCAGGCTCGGGGGGCTCCCTAGAAGTTTCCACAGTCGGGGGTCCCCGGACCACCGCTGTCCTCTCGGTAATGCCAACCCCTCCTTACCTTTGGAGGGCCCCCTTTTTAGCGTGTGACCAGCCCAGGGCACCCCCAGAGAGCCCAGTGACGCCACGACTTCCCTGGGAGGGGACACACACCCTGGGCGGGACGTGTGTGTGCTGTGACGTTCTCACCAGCGGCCCCCAAAGTCCCCAGCCCTGTGAGAACGGCCCCCCTCCTCACAAACCCGCCTTCTGCCCCCCTCAGGCGGGGTGTCCAGGCCGGGTTCACCCAGCGGAGCAAAGACAGGCCGTAGAGGGGCCAGGAGACGGGCGCCCCCAGGGCACCGGGTGGTGGGCGGGGCACGTGGCCAGGGACCTGTGTGTGTGCCCGGCTCCGTCACTGACTCCCAGACACGGCGGCAGAGACGGCTCCGCTCCCAGTTCCCGAGGCTGGGGCCCGGAGGCAAGGTGTCGGCCGGCCCCGCTGCCCTGAACCTCGTGGGGGGTCCCTCCTCGCCTCTTCCCGCCTCTCGGGGGGGGGTACTTCTCAACTCTTAGCCACCCCACTCCAGTCTCTGCCTGTGTCTCCACGTGGCTTCTTCCTGGGTGGCTGCCGGCTCCTGGTGTTGGATTGGGGGTCCAGTGACATGGGATGCAGGGCCCCCTGCTGCGGTCTGACCTCACCTGATCCGGTTACGCCTGCCGTGACCCCGTTTTCGAAGAAGGTCACATCCTGAGGCCCTGGGGGTGAGAACGTCAGCACACGCCTCCCCCACAGCAGTCTCAGTTCCCCTCCTCCTCCTCCCCTCCCTTCGCCCGTGGCTTCAGTCCCCACCCCGCACACACAGCAGGCCGGCCGAGCCCTGGACGTGGGCGCGTCCCCCGGGAAACAAGCCCCCGGGGATGGCGGGATGGTGGGCGGCTCGCTTCCGACCCCGCCCACACGAGAGCTGTTCCCTGCATCCCATTAGCAACACTAACAACATTAACTGCATGGGCCATAAAGCCAGCCGTCCACGCCCACTGTTTGGCGAGCTTTGGCCCTTGTGGGCCTCACACTCAACGTGCAACGTGTCCCTAAGCCCATCTGGCTGTGTGTGTGTGTGCGTGTGTGTGTGTGTGAGAGAGAGAAAGAGAGAGGGAGAGTGCTGACCCTTTCCACGGCTTTTCTCCCGGTACCTTTACACGCAGCAGTGTTTCCCGAGGAACCCACCGGGGACGCACAGAGGTCTGAGTTGAGGATTTTCCATCTGTCACGATGCGCAGTGATGAAAAGCATCGGAGATCACGGACAGGACCGACAAGAGGGGGTGCTTGGGTACAGCAAGGCTCCCCCACGGAAGGAAAAGGTGGGTCGCCGTTACCTGCGCCAGCACGTTGGTGACCGCCGCATGCGATCCCAGTGTCCACGCCCACGGGGACACACCCCACGGCCCCCGCTGGACGCCCGAGCCCCATAGATACTGTGTGTTTTCCTCTGCGCACACACCTGCGATGACGTTAGGTTCGTAAGCCGGGCGCCGTAGGAGAGGGACAATGGTGACTAAGGATGAAACAGGACAATCGTAACGACACACCGTGGATGAGTTGTGGACACGTGGCCTTGCCCTGTGGCAGCGTCTCCCCTTGTCGGGTGGGTGCTGGGCTCGGCCCCTCGGGGAGAAGTGAGGTAACACAACGCAACGGCCACGTGACGTGCTGAAGCGCGGCCCGCAGAACCGCTTGTTTCTGGAATTTTCCGTGTCACGGTTTTGGACCAATGGCGTGTTGCTCTGGGCGATGATAGCGGCTGTAGGCAGGGGGGCGAGGCTGACGGTGCCCTGGTCGGCGGCCGCCATGTTTCAGTGGGGCGGCCGGACCCTCCTTGTGGAGAAGACGACCTGGGGACACGAGGGCAGACGGTGAGGGGGCGGCCAGGCCGACAGCAAGGAGAGGGCTGTGGTCAGTCAGGCCCCAGGGCAGGGGTGTCCGCCCGAGGGAGGGGGGCACCGAGGCGGGAGACGCAGGGCCGGGGGGGACACCCAGGGCCCAGGAAGGCAGCCGTCGCCCGGCAGCCGGCTCAGGGGCTGGCGTGCTCTTCTGGGACTTAGAACGCGTCCCCGGCTGCTGCGTCGGGGCAGCGACGGGGGGCACCGGCCCCGAGGGGGTGGCAGATGCCCAGGAGAGAGGTGACGGCGGCCCAGCCCAGGGCGGCAGCAGAGGGGACGAAGGCTGGGCTCTGGGCGCCTTTTGACCCAGAGCGCACACGCACGGACACCGGACTTGTGTCCTGTTCCCTTTCCCACATTTTGTTCCGACGAAGGAGCTAAAAGCAAACCCCGTTCTCGGCCCTGACTCCGCCTTCCTGCAAGCGAGGCCCAAGCGGCAGGCCTCCTGCCCCGTAAACCGTGGGCCGCGTCCTGAGACCGTGCTCGGCTGGACCAGGCCGTGGACTCTGCGTCCTCCCCGAGCCCCGGTGCGCCCCGACCCCGACGCCCGCCCACTTCTTTCTGGGGAACACTCAGAGAACGTCCAGCCTGGGCGTGGGGGCGGGGAGGCGGGGAGGGTTCTGGAAGGGGCTTGCCAGGAAAGAACAGCCGTTGTGGATTTTGTGAGCAAGAACTACGCTTCCCCTGGGGTAAGACGTTGAGGTTTCGGGCAGCCGGTGGGGCCGGAGCTGATACCGTTGACCTGCGTCCGAGCGCGGAGGTGGGTCAGGCGCCCTGTCAGCTGATTCGCCCCGTGGTGCTGGGAGCGGCCAGTTCCTGGTTTTCCAGATGATGACGCACAGGGTCAGAGTGGTCCAGCTGCTCCAGCCGCGGCCTCTCGGAGGCTGCGTCCGCGAGAATCATCGTGGCCCAGGGCTCTGCCGGGGCCCCCAAGGACGAGCCGGTTCCCGTGGGGCCCGCAGGCCCCCAGGGACTTCGGGGAGTTCCCTGGGGGTCAGGTGTGACCTCGGCGACGTCCTCGCCCAGCACCAAGCGCGCCCCGCCCAGCGCTGCCCCTTGCTCCAGCGCCCGGAGCCTCTGTCCCCGCCCCTCCCCCTGAGTCCGGTGCCCCCTCTCTTTTTCACTGTCCGGGGAGAAGCGACGCCTGGCTCTGGATCCGGGCCATGCGCAGGGCGGCCCGCTCGGGGCTGCGTCGTGGGGACGCCTGTCTGGACCCGACCGAGAGCCGTTTCAGCCCCTCCATCGTCTTCCCCGTGGGACTCGGGACTTCCAGGGCCTCCTGCCCCCGCCCCCTGTCCACCTCCCCGCCCCCACCCCCCGTGCAACTCTCCGCGTGAGCTCTGCAAAGTCTCAGTGAGCGCGAACGGGAGCCAGCACCATTACCCGCCCCCCCCAGGGCCGTCTCAGTGTCTTCTCCCCCCACAGCAGCTCGTTTTACGAGCGTCCAGCGATTTCCCTGCCAAGTTTCCCCTTGCCGTTGGGTTTCCAGCTGGACCTGGCCGTCCTTCGGGGGACAGGCCCCTGGGGTTCCCCTGGAGACTCGAGGTGGTGGGGGCTGCCCCGTGTGGAGGCCCTGGGCCCCGTCCGGGGGCTGCCGGAGGGTGCGCTCCTTCTCCGCCGTGAGTGCCCTGCTCTGAGCTTCGGTGCTGCCTGTATGCATGCCTCTCCTGGGGGCCGTGGTGCCGGGGCTGCCGGGCAGCTCTCAGTGCCGCGGGACCCCCGCAGGTCCTCCTGCGTGTGGGGAATCGTGGCTCCAGAGCCGGGCTCAGTGAGGAACCAGGTCGAGGATCCTTCTGCAGGATCCCTGATTCTGTGACCCACTGGCCGGCGTACAATCGCCGAAGAGTGAAATACCAGGGAAGGCGAGTTTTCACTCCAGGCCTCACAGCCCAGAGGCACTCGGTGATGGGGGACAGCCCCGGGGGGGACCCCTTCCAGGCACCCCTCCCCCTGGAGTGTGGCTGCGAGCTACTCAGTGGCCTTCCAAAAAGTAATTTCCCGGCCACGCGAACCCACCCTGGCCCCCCCACGGGTCCGACGGGCTCCGGGCCTTTCCGGGCGGGGCCTGGCCGGGAGGCCGTGGG